CAACACTGGTGAGTTTATTAGGTCCCACTTTATTTCTTTATAATATTGCAAATATTTTTAATAATTCTGCAAATATTTTTAATAATTCTGCAAATAAAACTCTTGCCTTTCTTTTCGGAGGCTATTCATATTGCTTAAGCTAGTTTGAGCTTGAATTAATTCACTTCTCTTCATAACTAATGTTTCAAAGCCTTTGTTATTAGATCATTATGGTTTATATCAACTTGCATCAGAGCGTCAAATAGGAGAAAGAACGTCGCTTCTTGCGCGTGCGCACTTGGCTGTCGCCTCCATTCTGCAGGATAGTTTCAGCATCAGTCTCTCTCTTACGACCCTCTTTTTCAATCTGGTAATATCTGCTGGGATGGCGCTGAGAGTGAAAATAATACAGATAATTGAAAATTAACGAGAAATGTCCGGCATTCGAACATGACGATAAAACAGTTTCAGGGTGAGTCACGTGAGTCAGGAAAAAGGTAAATTCCATAACGAAAGGTAAAACTTTGGTGTTATCTAGAAAGCGTGAGGTTTTAGATAAATGGAAGATGGCACCAGTTTTCTAGCTGAAACAAAACAGAATAGCTCTTAATATTTGACTGACAAAAAATGGCTAATGCAGGTTTAATGGCGATGCAGTGACTCAAACAGATAAATACTCCGTGCTCCATGATTGGTCGAAGACAATGATCTGTCACAGCACACTCTTATAATTCTTTGCGGGACTTCAAACTGAAATGGGGATGTCTTTCAAAAAAGTACACTCAAAAGTACACGAGATATTTACATACTGTAAATAGTCAAGAAAACAAGGCTGAGTCGGCGGCCAGAAACTCGCTTTAAAATAAGAACAAATGGATTATAACAATCAGGCACCACAAACTATTTTAGCAAAAATAAAAAAAATTTGAGGGGATACTTATGCTTTAATGAGTACGTTACAGCTTACGATGGCCTTGACCACTTCACCACTTCGCCGTTATCGTTTAGAATGTTCAACACATTGGTTAACCAATACTTTAGCTTAAGCAAATTTTAAGGCCGATCGTTGATTGCATTTAGTTATGTCAAGTTAATGTTTGAACTACAATTGTTCATAATTCATTTTTTACCTTTATCTGACGATCATCAGGGCCACTTACATCGCCCTTGGGCTTTGTCATGTAGGGTGAAAAACCATCTACTGCTCGGAAAAAGCAAGTTACCAGAATCAAACCTTCCAGGGCCAGAATTATTGTGTTCATCTTGGCTTGGTAGTGGAAATTGTTCTAAGCAAGAGGAAAAATTGATCCTCCCTTTTCATGCCACGTCGTTTGATGAGCATTGTAGCGCATTTTTATAAGAATGTTCTCTAATTGTTTTTCATTGTTGTCACTGTGAAGAGAGAAAGTTTGACTTATGTTGTCAAAACTTGGATTAAAAGGCTGTAAGTAACGTCCTCAGAGCTAACAATAGATTTGAATTTCTTGAAGAAACTAAAAACAGGTGCAGAAAAAAAAGAAGAAAAAAAAGGTATTGACAGAAAAAGGAAACAAAGGTGAAAATGAAAATCTTGGGAGCGCTCAGATCCAACGCCATACTTACCATCCTGAAGTTCCGCTACCAGCAACATAACTTAAAACACATCATCTAGTAAACAAAAGAGTCTGTTTTCAGACTTTCAACGACCGAATTACTGAACTAACGTTCTATTATTTGCATTGATTTAGAGGACAAACGGATGTACAGAAGGACGGACGGTTAGGTCGGACATGTAGTCTAATAGATGGACGGAAAGACAGACAAGAAACAGCCAGACAGACAAAATATTGAATTCGAAGTAAAGGGCAGAAACAAATTTCTGTGAACGTTGGTGATAGGATCTAAGTAACGATTTTTTGCGTCTTTGACGGTTTCAGCGTTACAGCGGAAAATTGCTTTTAATTGAAATACTAGCTTTAAAACTAAGTTAATAATATTAATATGACATTGTATTTATTTCCAGTATTTATTTACTTTCACTTCAAGGCTTTAGACTCTTTACTGGTGTTTCAAGTCGCCTCCGAGTCGTGTCAGCATCTCAGTTTACATTTAAGATTCATCCATAATTTCGATCGAGAAGATGAGGTAAAATGGATTTGGAAAATTTTTCAGGTTTAATGAACGGAAATGATAACGACTACCAGTTGAAAATTTTGAATTTCTTTTTTGATCACGCACTGAATTTCGTATAGCTGTCTCCAGTCATGACAAGAAAGACATCTGTGGTCTGTGCTAAGGAAATGGAAACATTGGCAAAATTAGTCGATAACGAAATCCACAAAGGCGTTGTAGATAAGATTTCGTTTCCTTGACTTGTTCAATATTACTTCCTCGTCAAATGGCGCTTAATTAACGCCCAATTGCATTTTGACCTATTTTCCGCAACTAATACATCGTTAATTGCAAAGCCAACGATTTTTTTAATTTTCCCGAGAGGTTGGAAAACTCAACTCGAAAAAATTCTCATTGACTGTATTTAGTACTCACACATGATTCCTATCTGAACTTCCAAATGCCATTCGGAGAATGTCGTCAAAGGCGTTATTCCTGCATTAAATGTATTTATGTACACGTTATATATAATTGTAAACTTGTTTCTTTGTTGTAGTACGATTTAAAACAAACTTAAATTTTATATCATGACGAATAAGCACACAAGAACTTCACTTAGCTTTAGTGAAAGGTAATATTGATATTTAACATACAAGGCACATTATGTATATATTTCAGATTGAGCGCGGGGTTAGTTCTATATTTAGAATCTTGCACTAGTGGTAAATCTTTTTTCGGCTCAAAACTTATTTTTGTTTCGCGTTTTAGGCAGGTGATCATCGCTTAGTCTTATCCATTCCTAGATGGTTGAGCATGTTTAACTAAAAGAGATAGACTTGCCGAAGAAGCCATGCAGGCTGGCGAATTTGAAAATATTTTGAGATTCAACTTTAACCTCAAACCAAATTTTCCATCAACGCTTGTGAATTTAGCAGCTGTGGAATGACATATAAAGTGTCTTGCGTTGCACACAGAGCGGTGGCGTTGTAAGGATTCTTTCCGAAAACGGAAGATCCGACAGTAAGTTTGGCACGGGTCGGATGTTTTGTCACATTCAAAAGGTTTTTGATAGCAGATGAAATATTATAGATCGCGAATACTATTACCAGAACGGATGTGGTACTAACGAAGAAAGCGCCAAGATGTATAGGCTAGCGCAATAGAAGCATTTAGTTAGAAATAACACAGAGTGAAGACGAGGAACTGCTGGAAATTACTGAAGGTTGTCGATTGCCGAATTTTGATTTGTTTGCGCAAGATTCTCTAGTACATAATGAAGTTAGAAGCATAAACATAAACTGCTGGACCGATCAAATCTCCAGTTCCAAACATACGACTGACTCTAACCAACATATATTTCTCCAGTATGGTTTGAGTCTTTGTCACTCAACTGTCATTAATGAATTAGGTTTTGAAACCAATATAAAAATGATTCTTGCTTTGTGCTGATAAGCAGTTGTATGGAGTTGAAACCCAAGCTAAAAGTTACAAGCTAAAGTTGTTTGGTTATCGGGGGCCAACGAGGTTCAAAGTATTGAGTTATCATGAATATTCTTGCCCGTAATAAAAAAGTAAATGAGAGGTTCTTTTGGGACGTGACGTCGCTTCCATTTTAGTACTGAGTCGCGTTTTCCAATTTAATACTGTGTTTCATACATAATCCATTGCTAAGAACTCAACGAATGCTTATGAAGTCCTGTACGTTTCATTTGCACCGATAGTAAAATAAGATCTACCCTCGAATGATACTTGTGATTTAGTTTCTGAAATATAAGGATAACGAAAGGATGGCCTTGGAATAGGAAAATAAAGAATCTTTCATCAACTCTCAAGGGCGTCAAAAGTTTCATTAGCTGCTTCACAAATTAAAAGCTGTTATATTTTTCGGTCCTTTCGTACACGTTTATCAAACAAGGAAAAATGAAATTTTATCAATCGGAAACATTGAAACGTTATCTTGATTTCATATCAAGCCAGTAATTAAACTTTTTTTGGATGTGCCTTTACGCGGAATTACTCAAATTCTTGCCAGTTTAAATTTTTTATCCTGGTTGTTGATATATCAGAGATTCGAAGAATAAGCTCTGGATATGTAGATTTTAAATGATGTATTTTATTCTACCGATAATTTTCCCACTTATGATACCTGATCGTCAGAAGCTACACGTATTCTATGTTGCATTTTCTGACAATGAAATAAACAATTTTCGTGCAGTTTGGAAACTTAATTGACCAGTAGATATCTATGTTGCAGCGGCCTGATAACATTAATTAACTAATAACGAGCTTGATGGAAGCGAAAACAATGGCAATCTCATATTTCATCATTAGATCCTCTACTTCGTTTTATCTCTGATTTTTGTCTAAAAATTAATCATCCAATCAAAAGTTTAGGGCATCTCCGTTACTAGACAGAGAAAAAGGAAAAATTACAGTGAAAAAAAGGTAAAACAAAGAGGTCAAGACAATACTAAACACACTATATCAAGGCAAAGCTCTTCGGTTGTAATGAAAGAAGTTCTCTCAAGTTTTTGATTGTCTTTGTTCAGCTTTTTTGGGTTTTTTTTTTGTAGAAAGGAAATCAGGATCATCGGTGGTGTCTTCTGTACAAGCTTGTTTCAGTTTTATTTCAGTTTGCTAAAAGTATTTTAGTTTCTTTGTTAACTTAAGGCGTAAAAATGTGTTAGTTGAATTGCCCTAAATAACGTAACAACTTTATTAAAAACGGCGGTTTCAAATCTTTTTCTTTCGACTTTCTAAACATAATTTATGCGGATGCTGATATCGTCTCTCTGATAAAAGCCGAAAAAATTATATCAGTCAACGTGCTTCATTCAGGTCATTCAAACTGTTGTTAGCTTTGAGATTAATGATCAAATGAAAAGAGCGGTCTGATCTTATCAAGACAAAGAATCATATAATAGGAGTTGGGCAGTAACAGCAAAAGGAAGAAGTCTGTCTTTTAACTCTGAGCCGCCTCAAACGCTGAAATTACAGTTCCGGCAACTGGAGCGAGAAAGAAACACTACACCTGAATTCAAGACAGGTAATAGCTTCTTGAATATAAAAAATATATGTAATCGACTTCCTCTGGGATTTTGGAAGCCATCTTGTGAAGAAATTTTCAGGTGCAAAACGTTTTCCTTAAAAAGTATCCTGTGGATGACAGGGAAATTGCAAAATTTAACTCAGAAAATTGTGGCAAAGGTATGATTTTCAAATGTTGCTAGAAAAATTATTTTGTTGGTGACTAAAATTTGCCATTTATAATTTTTTTAGAGCATTCAAGTCAGTTGACAGATGAGCTACCCCTAAAGTAGAAAAACAAAACTTATTTTTCTTAAAGCCTCAAGGATGAGTCAAAATTGTTGTTTTGAAAATCCTTAATTCTCTGTTGAAGGGTTTACAACGTGATTTTATTTATTTGAAGATCTAAATACTCTAAGCGAAAATTGTGTGTAAAAAAACTTTCATTAATTAATAGCCGCGATTTTCTTTTTGGTTTCCTAGCATGTATCTCCTAATTATTCTGTTGCAAATATCTCTGTTATGGCTGAGTGCGTACTCTGAGGAGGAGAAAAGAGGTGATGACGCAGCTTTGTTTGATGCAGCCGTACCACCAAACGTCTTTAGAAATACTGGGTTTGCTGGAAATAAAGCCGGAAAAAGAGAAGTTGAATTTGATGCAGCCGTACCACCAAACGTCTTTAGAAATACTGGGTTTGCTGGAAATAAAGCCGGAAAAAGAGAAGTTGAATTTGATGCAGCCATACCACCAAACGTCTTTAGAAATACTGGGTTTGCTGGAAATAAAGCCGGAAAAAGAGAAGTTGAATTTGATGCAGCCGTACCACCAAACGTCTTTAGAAATACTGGGTTTGCTGGAAATAAAGCCGGAAAAAGAGAAGTTGAATTTGATGCAGCCATACCACCAAACGTCTTTAGAAATACTGGGTTTGCTGGAAATAAAGCCGGAAAAAGAGAAGTTGAATTTGATGCAGCCATACCACCAAACGTCTATAGAAATACTGGGTTTGCGGGAAAAAAGGCTGGAAAAAGAGAACTGAGTTGAGATTGATGCCGTCATTCCATTGTCCATCCTAAGAAATTCCAGATTTGGATACAACTGTGGAAGAATGTTATTTGAGTTTAAGGAAGTTGTTTAATAATACTGAGGGAACTCGATAAACTGGAATTAATTTTAATAATTTGTGAATTGCCAATAGTTTAATCATGACATTATTTAATTTCGGAATTTATAGCGGAGATTTGTGTTCAAAAATAAACAAAGTTTCAACCTATGAGATAACATTGAATAAAGACGGACTGAAAAATATATTGAACGCTATGATATATACTGAACACCAGCGGCAAGAGAACTTTTTTTATTTGCCCGCAATTTCAAGGCTCCGCGTACTTTTATTCATATTAATTGAGGGGGGCAAACCGATAAAGATTACAGGAATACTGAACTGAGGGGGGGGGGTGGAGGGGTCCTTTGGTGCCCTCAACTCCCCTCTTTGTAAGCCTTTTTTGTCACATTAAGTAAAACACAGCGTGGAGGCGACATGAAAATCTGGTGAGTACCCTCTGTATGACACAGTGTGACCCTCACTCCTTTTGAAAAATCCTGGTTACTCCCCTGTCCTCGTCTAGGGAAGTCAATAGACTTAAAGGTAAGATTGTTTCGTCCCTGGATATAGCCTACAGGCAACAAAATGCCATCGACCGGCCAAGGGAAACGAGAAGAAAACGGCCGCTTGATTGGCCAGGAAATTTCATGTCACTACCAACGATAGGATTAGACATTTTGAATGGTTTCAAAAGTTGCTTTTTGGTTTTTACAATAGCGAAGTTTTTCCACAGAAAAAAACAACGAAATTTTGAGTATAATTAGGAAAAAAATTGGGCGACGCTAGTAGCAAAGTTTGATACTTTTACCAACTTTATCGATCATGGCGCAAGGGTTGTGCGGTCTTCAACACCTTTTTCGGCTGAAGACACGGTTTGGAAAGGCTCTACAATCAAGTGAAGGACGGGTAAGCTCGGAATCAGATCATAGTAAAGAAATCCGTGCTTGGTATTTTTATTGATTCTGTCTTAATGTACAATGAAATAGTTTTGCAAATCTGACAAAGTTTTCACATTGTGTATGTTACATGAGCTATATGGTTAGCCGCTGGACATCAGCTCTCCTTAAAAGGCGCATGGGCTTCAGAGTCTTCCTTCAACTCGTGCTTGCAATGCTGTACAAGTGCGCTGCATAAGACTCTCTTTTCTTTGATCGCCTGGAATAGAAAACATTCTAATAAGAAAGGCTTCTAATTTGTAAGTAAATATTTTTTCAGGGGGAAATTCTTTCAATTGAAAATTCCATAATAATACAAGGATAAAAATTGCATTCATGTCAGATATTTTTATGTCATGATTTTTTCCCAGCGTTTTCTTTAAATCTATCTAAAAGCTATCACATTATTTTCTGTATTTTTTTTTCTGTCATATTTGTCATTTACCCCGTGGTGGATCAAACAAGTTAGACTCGTAACATGTTTCATCATGGTGTTCAACAATGAAAAACTCAGCCACCAAAAGGTCGAAAAAGTTTATTTTCTGAAAATGATCCCATCCTCGTACGAAAAGAATTCAAGGTGACTCTTCAGTATTGCACTGCACAACCTGTACTGCGCTTAAAAATCACATTATTAGGCCAATGAGCGTCCGCGCATTCCGAGAACACTATAATGTTTTTCAATCATCGAACCAGGTGAAGAGATGCAGTGGTCTCCAGCTACTGAACGAGCACAATGACTTACTAGAAATAACAATAAAATTCATCGAAGGGTAAAAAAAGATATAATCTAAAAGCATGCACGAAAGCCCGTTACTCGAGGATGCAAATTATGACCTTGAAAGGAACGACTCCAGAAACGTTTGTGTCGATGTTATTTAAAAGTACGTAATTTTTCCTCAAATCATGTATCAAATTTTTTCAAACGCATGAGACTGTCTACCCATCAAGTTTTTTTCAAGAGTTACTTTAAAAACCCATGATTCTAGCCACCGCAAAATGAGCTGTGGACCGATGAAATGACGCACGTGGTTAATTAGTACCAGTACGGTCACGAATGGGATGGGTTTTGCCCCTTATATTTCTTAAATAAGCACGGTGATCAATTTTTTTTTGTACTTTTCGTAAAAGGAATTGGTAGTGAAAATATAAGGAAATTAAAAAACAAATTTTTCGATAAGTTTTTCTTCTGAGGAATCATCTTAAAAGATACAAAGATGGCAAAGCCCGAGAAAATGTCTGTTTGAAAATGAACTTCCACTTTTTCAAAATAAATCCCGATGAGCACATTGTTTTTATTTTCGCGTCTTAACGAGCAAGATTTTCTCTTCAGCATGACATGCAAATGAAGCTTTAGATTCGAAATGAAAACCCTAACAGTTTGCATTCGGCGCGGTTCTTGATCTCAGACTACACATTACTGAAGTAGTGATGTCTCGTTGCCCATTTGCTTATGAGGGCTAAGATATGCACAAAGGCTTTTAAAGTTGCACGTACAGATGTATTGTTCTCTGCTCAATAAACGTTGTGTATCGCTACATTAAAATTGCCGTTGCCGTCGTGGTTATCCTGTCAAAGTACCGATGATTCTTATACAGGAACAAAAAAAAGTCGGTATGCTCTGTCCTAGTCAGTAATGCTACTTGGCCTTCGAGAAACAGACCCTACGTGAGTTGCCTGTAACTGTAAGCTTAACCTTTAACCCACCAATATCTCAGTAATAAGGACCTTTCCTCTCTATATCTACCATACATTTCCTCATAGAGTAATTGGAGTTTTACCAGGATTACAACCCTTAACAGATAGGCAGTGTTATTCCTGTTCCCTTTTTACTGGGTGATGCTTGAATGCCGCAAAGAGCGTAATAGTTGATCCGTCGTTGGAGTGAAAGGGTCAGATCGTTTAAGGTCAAATGAGTGTTTAACAATAAGTTTTCTAGGCACACGTGGCAGAAAATACTTAGCCAATGTCCCTTTATGATAACAACAGGAATAAATTAATACGTTGTTAATCGCGTCAGCGATGTAATCAAAGCAATATTTTGTCATGACGGCCAAAAGAAAAGAGTCACCTCGTAAGATTTTCCGTTTGAAAATGTAGTACAATGTAATTCATTACTTTCGGTTTTAAATTACCGTCAGGCTGGAATCTTTTTCCTCAGTGTGAAGGGTTTTTTCCCCATTTTAAGCCCAACATATATTCATGGTAAAATGCTCAGACCATGAGGTAATCCTCCAAAAATTGAAATTCGATTCGTTTTCCAATATTTTGACATATATTTAAAAATGATTTTTTTTTCATCGGTTCAGTTGATTTTTTTCATAAAAAATGAAAAATCCAACCAAGTAATAATTTAGTTTACTCAAATTTTGATTTAAAAGCATAGTAGTCTTAAATAATGATTTGGACGAAATGGATGACTTTCTTTTCGAAATCAAAACATTTTTGTAACATTTTTCAGGGTCGGTATCGATTTTGTGATGACGAAAATCTTGCTACACTCTAATAAATACGTTTTGAAGAAATTCTTTTGTATTTCAACGTTTATGCCGCTCGTCACTGCCTCGCAACACTATCTGCTCTCAGTCTTTTCCACCGAGGTGAGAAAGTAGCTTTTTCGGTTTTTTTAATTAAAACGACTTACATGGGTGTAAATTTTTAGGAAACTTCTATTGAAAAACAACACTACATTTAAGAACTCTGTTGGTTTCTAGCTGTGTTTTGACTGCGACAAAATTTATGTCTCTGTGCTTGGAAAATTGGATGAGGCTGAGAATATTAAATTGAGGTAGCTGTTTTTGTAAAAGAAACATCATCTCTTGTTTCAATGTTTTCTAATATCGTCTTGTTGGATTTAAAATCTTTGAAAATTGAATAATTTAAGATCTCTATAATTTATTTCCTCCTCCCTAGCCAAAATAAAAAACAGATTTTCAGAATTCAGCTCAGAAAACCTTCCTTAAAAATGGTAACTCGGTAATGATCTAGTGTTCAATTCAAATAAATAAAACAAGGATAAGGTTTTCCAAACCTCTAAAGCCCTTTTCCAAGTCGAGCCTCCGGCAGAAATTCCATGGGATGTAGGAAGGTTAGCCACAGAAATAACCAGTGAAACAACAAGGAAAAGTGCCAAGGTTTTCTGCATGACTTCTTCTCTGTAGGTGCTACGGTCACTTTGACAATCGGCTTCGAATCTTTATTGATTATCGTGGTACAGTTCTGTTTTTGAATCGAAGCTGCCTTTTTATTGCCAACCCAAACAAAAGATGTGTGAAATATGCCTTCATCACTGCTGATTGCAATAAATGAACTTTCATGAAATAACAATTAAGCGGCCCCCACGCAGGCTGGCTTATACTCCCTGACAGTTAATGCTAACATAACCATTAACGGGCGTTTGAGAAAAGCTTGGTAAGAGGAATAATGACTTTTCCATCCTTCAAATGTGACAAACAAGTAAACTTGCAAACAAAGGTGGCTCATCAATGTTGGATTAGCGGCAACTGAATGACATAAGTCTTAAGTTTACCTCACCTTTGCGGTGGACATTAGTTCGAATAATTCATCGCAGCATCTTTGTCCAGTTGATGAAGCATTCTAAACAATGTGATTCATTTAAAAACTAAGATTTTTAAAGAGTCACTAAAGTTAACTGGAGCTTTCTGTGGTGAAAAAGTGCGACAGGAAAAATGCTTAATGAAAATCTCCGATCTCCAGAAGATTTAATGCTTGTTCACTATTGCGAGAATATTTTTTTCAGACATAGAAACTGTCATCAACTTTTTTTGTGGAACAGATGTTGTTTTCAATTTATTTAAAATCTGTTTTACACCTTAAATTTAATAAAGAAGTAAACATGTTTTTCCATTGGGAAATATTCTGTAGCGCAATTCAAAATTCTTTAAACAGAGGACAGATTTTAAGGCCATTGTAAAATAAAGGAGTTTTCGAGGGAAAAAAAGTTGTCACGGTTTCTGCCGATTTAACTTTTCAACCATTCAAGGTATTTATATTAAGTTAATCTTCTGTAACCCTTGAAGATAATGTAAATTTGGCCTGAAATCTTGAATTCCTGGCGGTTTGAGAAACATTGCTTCCAAACTTGACTTTTTTGCTTTTATTGTGGAATAAGATCGTTCGGTACAGAACATCCCTGCACGTGTAAACAATTACTTTAAAGTTTTCAAGCAAAGACTTTCAATGATATCTAATTAGACTTTGATGAATTCAGAAATTTGTTCAAAATTGTGAATTATGTACATCTACGAACGTAAAAAAGAAAAAATCATGATATTTTGGTAATTTGAAACCGAACTTTAAGAACGTGAAGTGCATGGTTTTCCGTTTGTTTTTAAGTTATCAAATTTAAGCTCAGAATAAATCTTATTTTCAAGGTTTGACTTACATCATCCAAACTTTTAAGTAAAAAAATCATTTTACGTGCGATAAATTATACTTGTTAGCGTTTTTGGAAAAATCGATAAATTTTTCCTTGTTTTCGTTTTCTTTAAGGGCCTGCTCGATCATCTTCTAATGTAAATTATCTGACAAGTATCTTCGTTAAATTTTCCTAGCCTAGCAAATCTCCATGACTTTTCTTTTTGTCAATTTGCAAAACAAGCAAACAATTTCTTCTTCACTAATGCACTGGTCTTGAGTAGAACACCGCCCACATGCAGTCCAAGTTGAATCAATTGGCGAGTCTCTCTGATCAATTTTAGTCCGACCCATCAGTTGTAATCACTTGCTGGAATTTTCTTTCGATTATCGAGAAGAGCACGCATATTTAACGATTCACTGCAATCAAACTTACAATTTAAATGATAAACGCCTTCGTCTTAAATCCTAAAACACGAGAGCTACTATATTTGGTCTGGAGTAAATTTTAGAAGTAAAAACAGTCGCGAGATAAGATGCTTGGTATTTATCACTAGACAAACGAACAACGATTTTACATCAAGGCTAGCTAAGAATGAGTTTAGGATGAAAGTGAAAAAGCAACGGGCTTCTAACAATTAACGGAAAATATAAAAGTAAAACTATGAATAATGTTTCCTTCTAGTTCACACTTTATCTAAATTAAAAGTACGCCTTATTCACCTTTGTGACAAGAAACAATCTTTCGATGATTGGAGGTAGTCGTAATAGCTTTGTCATATGATGGAAGTTATTGCTAGATAAATTTTACTTTTAAATTTGAGCCTGTAAGAAGCAGAATCTTTTTACTGCAGTGTACCAGCAGCCACAGAGGTAAATGACCAAATTCCAAAGCATTCAAAAATGGTAGAGAAAGAAATTTCGTTAAATGACACTCTTAAGACTAGATTCACCAAGAAGGATCGAAAACAGCTGTATTTTTGGCTGTGGTTTACGAGAAAATCCGTTAAGGTACGTTCGAGTTCTGAGTTAAGTTTTAATGAAGAAAGGTGTTAATGAGAGGCAGTTACTACCAGGCACAGAAGGCTGCATAAAAGACTTGTGAATCATTTTAAGTTTTGGATGTTTACCGTGATCGGCAACTAATCAAAAACTTGTTTACCAGTTTTATTATTCGCAACTAAGTGATATAAGAGTTATATAAACACAATAGGAGCAAATTAACTTTCCCGTGAATGTATGCAGGACTTAAATGTCTTGCAGCTGCCACTTGTAAACGTGTCATTAACATCTGATTTTAAATTGCCAGTCAAATCTGAAAAAAGAAAAAAAAAATTGGAACAAGTAACCACAAGTTATTGTTGTTTTCACTGGTTTCTGCTCTTTTCAAGCTGTGGAATATGAAGTTACCATTCATTCTGTTCACCAGGCCTTTCCTGAGTGAGAGATTGAGATTTCGTCAGTCCTTTCAGCCCGGCATCCGGAGTTGATACAGTGAGTTGCCAAGGTGCTATTTATCTTCTCAACATTTATTCACTTAGAGTCTTTAAAATGGCATCCTTGTACAAAAAATGAGAGTTCTGCAAACTTCCTAATTAAAACTTGATGTCCGAAAAATGATGGATATTCACAGTTTTCCGAGGCCCTTCCGTCATTTATTTGAGCCAACAGGCATTAATTCTCATTAAAGCTTTTCTGCTAAATCCGATGAGAAATGGTCCCGCACGTTGAAAAAAAAACTTCCATTTAGTGAATGAAATTGTTAACCTGACCTGTTGTTATGTATGGCTATAGAGCAGAAGATTTGACAGCAATAATCTTCTTAAGTGCAATGTCCCTAAATGGGGCAACATAAACAATTCAAATTTGACATTTTTTTTTCCCTTGAACTTCGTTTTAAACTTCAGTCTCAAGTCCATGAATGTATCCCCAAAACAAGGGATACAAAGATCTGTTCCAATTAAACTGAATTTAATCAGCCTTTCGACTCCTTAGGATGAATACTAAACACAAAGTGTTTTCAGTTAACGTGGAGCTTGGATTGAAGGGATGTGACATTGATTTGTTTTATATGAAACGTTTAAAGGAAAACTGAGGAAAAAATAATTTGGACAGAAAAATCTTGTCTACGTGAAACGTTTGTTCAATCGGTGGATGGAGTCATGCGTACAAGAAAAATGAAACTGTGAGCAAAATTTAAACTCCCAACTCCGAGTCGTGTGACAAGAAAGTTTTTTTGAAGTGCATCTATGATACCGGGGTTGTAAATGCTACCTAGAATTTTAGTCTACACTAAAAAATATGTGAAATCAACGCTGAGTTCGGTGATCGGTCCCCAAAGGCCGCTTTGCGAACAGTATTTTTAACGTGGTGTTCGATCACGACAGCAGATCTGGTGAGACCTGGTGAACAGAACTCAAAATTAACCTTTTTTGAACATCATCAAACTTGTTCAAGTTGTAGTTTGAAAGCTAAAACCCCCTATTGAAGAACTTATTTAAATCAAGGAGCTAACATAATCCTTGGCATGACAATACATTGTGTAAGAACTGCTGTTGAGTCTCTCCTCAAATACCGTCTTGGCCCGGACCAGAAAAGTTCTCAGTAGAAAGGCGTGCTAAGCTACAAATGTTTTCTTTTTCACAGGGCTGAGTGTATTAACCAAGAAGTAAAGTGTTTATCACAGCCGGTAAATTCATAGGGCGATCAAAACGTATGAACACAAAATAAACAAACGTTAATTTAAAAGTAAACTATTCTGGCAAAAATAATTAAGTTTCAATGTGCACATGAGTTTAAACAACGTCCTTTTTTCTCATCATCCAGACATTTCAGTTTCTTCTAAACAAAATAAATCTGCCGAGCGTGGACGGGCATGTTGTTGAGCGAGCTGTTGTTCATTTTGCCTCGCCATAGGTCAGTTGTTGATAAACTGCCATAACGCACAGGTAATACAAAGCTGTGGCCATTAGTCGAAGCTCGACCTACCAATAATGGGTCGGTGATATACCTGAGCAGAAAATGGAGAGGAAGAAGTTAATTTGAGGAGACATATTTACAAGGTACTAGCAGTTCATATTTGTAGAGAAAGTTTTTAGTGTGTATCTACCTCAAAAAATTCTTCAGTTTAATTCATCGGCGTTCTAACGTGTTCTCTCCATAAATGTTGGCAAATCGTGTACTACACCATCCTCGGTTCTCAACCATAAAGACGGGTGATTAAAGCTCAAAATAGGCTGGGACGAGAGTCAGGCCCAAGCCTAACTCCTCCATATCGACGCCAGATAAATTCTTTCAATTAATTTCTTTCATGAACTAAACGAGCCGAAACGAATGCAAATTGAAAGGGATGTAGTCCAGTTTTCAAAGAGTCTTTCATCAGAATATTTTAAGCAGTTTTATAATAATCGAGGTAAAACCAACTCAGTCCGTAATATCCTAAACATATTTTGTTGAATCAGCCTCCTTTTCAAGACAATTGGTTTTTTTACGATTTCCATCTACCAACATTGAAAAGAAGGGAGGGGGAGGGGTTGTTTTACCGGCTAAATTGCCATTAGGGTTGTCTTTCGCTACATCGCTATGGCCAAGTGCTAACGCTCGAAACGTCATCTTTTAAAACATTTTACGGTGGCCAATTTACGCCTGTATCAACTCAGTTGATAATACTAAACTACTTTGTTATACTCTCCCACCGACGCAGCACCACAGTTTCTTTAGAAACTTACCCCCTTTTTTCACTACAAAAGAAAGGTATAAATGATATCGAAGTCGCTTATTTGACCAAATTTCAAGTTATGATCATCGTTACACTACATTTGTATTGTGCACTCGGTGAAGCGTAATCTCCTACTCAGATCCTACCATGTAACTGTAACTGTAACGAGACTGGGTAAGGCTGTTTTTTTTTCTAGCTTCTTTTTTATCTCGATGTAGACCCTAAGATTGATTTTTTTGTCAACCTGTTCCACCAACAGATTGTTCATTCAAACCAAAAGCAAGTTAGCGGATCTTCTACGTAATACAATTAATATGACCACGCGTTTTGTTGAAGATCAAAGTTGGCTCATTAGTTCACACACTCACTTGTAATCTTGCGCCATTGAGAAAACATTTAAAAGGTTCTTGATTAAATTTCCAATAACATGTCATTCTGTATCTTCGGCACTGCCGTAATTATAAGACTGTGATATCAAGATTCATTTCCAAATAATTCGAGGAGAAAATAACTATTCAATGCTAAGAAAGAAGAAAATAATCAGAAAAAGACTGTCTCATCTCTAATCTTACTAGTTCGAAACCGAATGAATTATTCCTTACTACAGTAGTTACGGTGCATTAGACCGAGAAGATCGCGTCTCGACAAGAAAAATTTCAGCTGGCCATGCAAGCAGAAAGTGCCTCGGAAGCGATCACGATGAAATATTTCAAGCAGGCGGAACGGTACCGGCGAGAATGCGAGAAAATTAGGAGGGGAAGAGATATCAAGACTTTTAATGTTGAAAAAATGTATGAAATGATACATAAATAACCAGATAGTTCCAATGAAAATATAGTGAAATATGAACCAATCCATGAGAATGTGATTTTTACATTAAAATTTCTTATCTTGAAAGTTTATCATCTTGATCATAGAAACTACAAAATGAAACAGCCTCCATTTTTGACACTTTGCTGGAATCATACAACGTTGAAATCAAAGACGAGCGGTAAAGATTTTCTCACAAGCGTACATGCGTAAGGGAAAATCCTTTTTCCAATGTGGAGAAATATTTCAGAACAGATTTTCTAATATTGATAGGAACAGGCTAATCAACTTTTTCCTTAATTAGAGTTCAACCATGTAATGATCATTTTAATCATTACCAATACTATTATTATGATTAATGTAATTATCAATGGAGGCTCCATGCAGACAGTATTCTTCCTTCATAGTAAATGATTGTTGTGAATTAAATTTAAGAAATGTCTTTTTGTGAAATCGGATCGCGGATTACAGATCCCACTCTATCCTCTGATATTTACATTTTCCATCAAAGCCACCTTTTCAAATTAAGCATTTATGAAGAAAGCCAATCATGTTTTACCAGCCATGAGCCTTGGGTTTTAAGGAAGTAATTATATTTTTTCGCTCTTTGTGATTTTGTAACACTCAACATGACGATTGATAATCCTTTTATAGTTTTGGGGTCAACTGAGGCTATTCGGATGTAAAGTCAATGATTATGCACTTTGATGACTGATTCCACTCGGATGCAATCTTTTCCTTGCATGCAATGTCTATAAGCTTCCTTTGTTTATAACCAGCTTTCTTATGTTGAAAAGTATTGTCTCCTTCTCTATAGAGCTCTTGGAAATCCCCTAATGGGACAAGACCAAGTTTAAATCTTTCAAGAGTTACTTACCAGCTCCTCAATCGGACGAAGAGTTTATTTGTTTTACCACAATAGCCTCCTTTGCTTTTGTTCGATTTTTACTCATAAATAAGCGGCTTGGATCCATCAACAGAACCAGCACAAGTCACTTAAAGTAGATTTTTGCAAGAATTATCCAACGGAAAACCAGGAGCTGTACAAGAAGGTGATCATGAAGAAATATTCGGCAATTTTCCTTCTCGTAGCCTTAGTCTGCCTCGTAACTAACATACCGGCAGCTCAGGGATTTTCTTACAGCAGACAAGCGTGGAAAAGAGTCTTAGAGGTTTGAACGAACTCTTTCAGTATCATCTTTCAGCTGTGAAAAAAAATATTCTTGTATATGAATCAGTGGTATCGAGGTAACGAGAGAAGCGTCTTACTGAGGCTATCTGGAATCAATATTAAATTAGAAAAATCATTGTTATTCCATGAAAAAGTACTCTACAAGTTACTGACTCGAGAATGACAGTGATTAAGAGAATTTCATGAGCTGTTTTTCCACATAAAAATATGCAGCATGCAAAAAGAGGGGAATTCGAAATCGTGGATAAAAACTCACCAACCATGGTACAAACAAGTCACCTTAAGACATACGTAAGCTTTTTTTCATTGTTCGTCATAAAAAAAACAGAATGCGAAAAAATTATTCTTAAAAATAATATGACAATAGAGGCTAACTGTATGAAACGACATTTTTCTTTGAGTAAAGCTTAGCATCTAAGCACTGCATGCAATACAACGCAGAAGCGATAGCCTGTCTTACAAACTTAGAAAAAACCTTGACATTTCTGCTTTAAATCTTTAGTGAGGATTTGAAATAAATACACAATAGCTAACATGACCTGTTTAAAGTTTTTCATGCTTATAAAACGCGAGGGAGAAATCTTCATTAGTCTGAAGTGTGTCAACTAACACTTTGTAACTGCCATATGTCTAAAGAAGTTATCATTTGGCAAAACTGTTTTTTTTTGTCTGCTATATTCTCCAAATACCCAAAACAGAATTTTTAAACGGTAAAGTAAATTTGATATAAAAATGTTAGCTTTTTATGGTACTTTTGTTCAATGCGTGAATGATATATTCTCTTTCAACAAAATATCTAATGTGGGTATTGTATCCTTAAAAAAGAAATTCTTAAGAAAAGAACAGAATGAAGCGCTTATTACGTTAAGTGACACGTTTTCTATTACATTTTCAGGCGATGCATGACACTCGAAGTATTTGTCAAGAATTACAAAAGCGCTGTTATTCTGAGACCGTAAGAGACCAAAGAAAGCAGGCGAACCCTTGAAGAAGAACTCTGATGTTTAGCAGCCGGTCGGCCGCCCACATCGTTAAGTGGTGAACTGAAGCGCACGGAAATTGATAAATATTTGTTCTTGAGTCGTATATGTGATGTAAATTTTAGGATTTAGCGGTAGTATTTCATGTTATCTTGGAAGATTGGTTAGTTGTCTGACTTCAATAATCAGGTGAAATTGTTTTAAACCTGAAATGGATGCCTGCTGTTCAAAGCTCTCCAACATGTTTCTGAATTTCCCTTTGCTTTGTGTTAGCACGTGCTTATTGCAAAATTTAGATGACCACGTAAAACTACACATATTTGATGTGATCTTGACAAGTTCTGCTATATTCTCCAAATACCCAAGAACCCCACAAAACTGACTAAGCATAACCAAACTAATACCACAGTTATAGGGGTGGGCGAAGAAGCGCCAAGCAACCGCGCCAGAAAGAGGGTGTGGTTAAAATTAAACTTCCTTGGTGAGTCCTTCATCACTATGAGCTATGGCACTACAAATCATACTTCAATATACAAACACATACAGAAACATTGAACCCATGATCACGGCTCCCCTTTATCCTTCAATTTGCTCATAAGTAACCAGAAAATTTCTTAAAAATATGAAATTTGAAGCAGGCCTTGAGCTGCTGTTGAAGCTTGCGGCCTCATTTGAATTTTAACACCCTCATTCAAAATGTTATTGTAGGACAAGATGTCAAGATCATAGAGAATTTTTCTATACCTTTGTCCGCGAATAAAAAGAGGCAATGTGGTGCAGCTAATACTGATGAGCCTCCGTTCACCAAGCCCTCCTGAACCTAAAACGCCAAAATGGTCCAATTAACGGTGATCTTCACGAAAAAAGAAAACTTCCAAGTCAGCATCGAAAATTATGTCAGATTGCATTTGCTTTTTTTTACGTCACCTCGCGATTGATCAAAAGGACAGAGGATCGATGAAAAAAAAACAAGCACAAAAAACTAACAGATTCTGCGTTTTTCACAGCAACTGGACAGTGTTCAGCACTGATCCTTACGATGATACTTTTGTGATCACATAATTTTCCTTTCCCGATGGGCAAAAAGCTGCGATAAATCGAAATTGACGGAAGCGACTTTTAATTTCTTCGAGGGCTCTTCAGAATAGCAAGAAATCTAAAGAAAGAAAATGGATAGGAAATAGACCTTTTGGAATATGCTGACATTGTTTGATACTTTCACCATTAGCTTATTTGCAGTGAACTTCCTTGTTTCGGAACTAATGCCCGAACAGCGATAAAATCAGGCATTGTTTGAATCATTTGCCCTCTAGAAGGGAGTTGTCCATGTCGTCATTTGCGACGAACTGAAAAGTAATTTTACAATGTCAAAAGTTTATAGTTAGATATATTGCCGAGGACAACTATTTCTCTCTTAAATTGATCATGCATGCTGTAGTAAAATAATTCTTCATGTTTTATCAGTTGTATGAACGAAAAAGCTTTAAAAAAACCACAAAAAAACATAAAAGCCAAGTAGCCTATTTTAGCGATAGTAAGCTGGCAAAGTTATGCGTAAGCAACGTTATCTAAACACTGTAATAGCCGGTGGTAGAAATGACATGGTTTTCAAGTTCATATTCCTCAGTTCGTCTATACTTAAATTTGACCACTTAGTTTGATTAAACCAAAAATAGGTTTGCCACGATCGGAATTGCGGAAATCCTCATAATGGAACAGTGAAACATCTTTGTCGTTTTCTAAGCGTTGCCGCCTCGTCTATTTCACCATTTGAATCAGCGGAAAGAGCTATTTATAAAAAAAAAATTACACTTAGAGTAAAAGATAAGTGGAAAAAGACAACGGCAATTTTCTTATCCACTTATCAACTATTTAGTCTTAAAGTAATGTTGCTAGAATATGTAGGGTCAGAGATTATCTCTACTGGACTGCGCTTTCTATCAATTGAATGTCAGCAGACCCATGCGCTACTTCGGAAGATCACTACGAGAAAGAGTTCGTAAGTCAAGAACCGATGGCGAGCTATTTCCAAGTTTTCCGATTTCCCGATTTACAGTCCGAGTGAGTTCGTTATACTAAGCCAGTACATCAATATAAAGAGCCGTGTACTGTTTTATAAAAGACTTTTACTACAAAATCATTCTTCTTTGGGTTCATCGAAGAGGGGGTTCTCAAAATATGAGGAACGCACGAAACATCAAAGTTAATTCATAAAACCGGCTTCGAAATCTGGAACGCTTTTAACACAAGCGTATGAAGCAACTGCTGTCAATTTTGATCGATTTCCATGTCACTGAAAGGTTTATTTCGATTCCAAAAAGGTATCATTGTATTTAACTGTAGATTTTAACTTTAATCACAATTTCAAGAAAAGAAGTGACCTCATACAAAAACACAGAGCTCATAGATTTAGTTCTTTACTTCAGCACTTTTCAGAAAATTGCATTCGGTTCTTGAATGACTGAAACGAAATACACCCTAATTATTTGGAAAATTATAAACACAGATTTGAATAATGTACGATCAGTTTACTTCCTGTTCATAATTCATTTTACGATGTATATTTATTAATCGTCTTTGTCATACTTCTTTATGACACGAGGAACATTATCGATTAAAAGTTAAAAAGCCTTTCGGAAGAAGAGTCCTGCTCACTTGTCAAAGATAGATTGGGAGTTATGTCTATTTCACCGGCTCATTAATGCAATCAAGGAAATTGGCTTCCATTTTACATCCGTGAGTATTAAATACCAACAGATAAGGCGGCCTACGCGCTTTCTCACGAGGCGTTGTGTGGCCGGAACAACTTTTCTGTCAGTGTATCATAGTTTTTAATTTGCAAACGGCCCTTATTTACTCAAGCAGACGACAAGAACTATTTAACTACCTGCATGTGAAGGATCTTTTTAATGAATCAAGAGCTCTGCTGGATATAAAGAAGAACATCCCGTGTTAATAGAAACGCGTCGCAACTGGAAAAATGAAGAGGGGTAGTAGTTTTTGTATTGTTCTGATAGCATTTGTTTTAACAACACTTGTGGTCCTTCGACCCTGCCAAGGACTAACGGCCGGTGGAAATAACTGGTCTAGAAGATCAAAACCTGAGGTGTGTATTAAAACGTCTTCCTTATATCTCAATAACAGAACTTACTGTACTCCTTTAAACGACCAGACTTAGTGCAAGATAAAGTGGTCGCTTAAGAGCGGCAGTGATTCCAAAACTGTTGGGGTAAACATAGATTTTTTAGTACAACTAATTCTAAATCAAGTAAGACAGTTTGGAAGTATGAACCTGAAATAAGCGCATGGAAACAACGAATTGTTTAGTCTTGTGCATTGGAATTCTAACTATAATATCAGTGGTTTTCGTGGCTGTAGAACATAACTCCCTCGCAATCTTATGGACGGCAGCTTACAGACGAGACAGAATAAAGCTTTTTTGGCTTGGTTGTCCTTTATCTTGGTTGCCAAAGACAAAGGTTTTGAAACAATAATTGACTAAGAAACAAAAAATATTGTTTGTTTTATTTAATTTTATGTTATTGTCCTCATTATATTGTTGTAGTTGCCACTGAAAATTCCTTACAGCGGAAGTGGCAATAAAATATGCATGTATATATGTAGCTTGAAACTTTCGATTTTATGGGGAAAGGCATTTCCCTCACGGTTGGAGTAATGTGTTTGGTGTCGATCGATAAATCCACGAAGGTCCACGCCCCAATGAGCGCCATTGTGTTGCGTTTAACATGTCATCTTTACATTGTAGGAAAATAAATAAGAGCCAGTCGATGTGATATCCCATGATGATAACCATACCCCTGGCCGCTGCAATAAACGCAATTAGTGCTTTAGCTGAAATCTACTTTTATCTTCTTCACCCCTTGCCAACCCTGTCTCATCGAGTAATTTTTTTCAATTTTTTTTGTGTGTTTTTTGGAATTTTGGTTTTTTTCATATCGTATCAAATTGACACCTAGGCACAAAATATCACAACGCGCTTGAGGAAGTATGTGCACATTCAAGGCGCAGTACAAGTGTAGTATCATTGTATCATCATTAGATCAAGACCTTTTACCTCAATGCTAACCTCTTGCCCAGATACTTAGTCCCGGAGGCTCTACGTTTGGGATCATACTGAGGCCAATAAAAATTCTCAACTTTAGTCAATAGTATCCTGTGAAATCTCCTTTAATCATATGGTCTTAAAGATAAAATATTTCCTCTTTAATTAAAGGAGAGCGACAACACAAAATGATGAAACGTCTGCTTTGTAGCTGTGTTGAAGATGTTCTCATTACTTTGATATGAGTAGAAAAAGCATGGTTTTAAGTTATCTTTGTTCTTTTTTGACCACTTCCATCAGTGCGACGTATTGGCAAATCTTTTTCTGGCCTAAATATAAAAATTATACGAGTACACGATCAGTTAACAATATAAAATGCTGCTCCAAATTTTAGTCAGAGCAGGACCTTTGAAACAACTCTCATTTACATAATTGCAGATATATATCCAGTACAAAGTCACTCATCAGTTGTTGCAGTAATGTCGATTCGTTCAACTTTTCGTGGGTCAGATCATATTAGAACTCAGGAAATTGAAAATCATTACTTTACATTCTCCTAACATTTTAAATCAGCAGCTTCCGATACCCACATTTGCATTTAAGACTCCGAATCGGAAGACAATAAATCCTATTATTTCCGCGCCCACGTCGCCAGAAGCTTAAAGAACCAAATCGCATTTAAAAAAACAAATAATTTCCTATTCATGTGCCAAATGAATAAAGTTTGAAATCTTCGTGTTGAAATGAACTTTTCAAAACGTCATTTGACAATTTAAAACGGTTTATTAGATTTCAGGACACTAAACCTTGGTAGACTATATGCACACCTTTTATGACACTTGTGCAACGTTCTAACTTAGAAAAAAAATATGGAGCCGTAAAACGCCAAGTGAAATTATCAGGGAGAGTTTCCATATGTTTAAAAAGCAGATTTTATATAAAAAATTCGCTTGTAATGCTACGTAGCGTGCAAATTTATGCATAGAAATATGAAACGGCTCAAAAGATCAGGCCTTTACTTGAACATCAAAAATTACGATTCCGACCAATATCCTACTGGTTGAGAAGAAGTTATTCAGACTTGGCGTTTATTTCCGAGCGATCATTATTTACGGGGCTTAAACAATTTTTTTTAAAGGTAAAGTTGCTTATTCAATCAGCTCTCAAACGCTATAAATGTGAATAATGATCGTCTTGAGAATGATCTTCAAAAAGAAACCCCGCCCGCGAACTGTTCCTAAAACAGAAAATCATGCAGAAATTTTGGGTGTTTTTTCTCGTTGTTTCGTTCGTCGCTGTAGCTAACTTCATTTCAACAACCAACGGAATTGCCGCCGGTGGGTCTACATGGAAATCGAAAAGAAATTCGGAGGTTGGATCAATAGAACTTTTCTTCAATGACTATAATTTACACCACATGATTGCTCTGTTATACTTGGCACATGTTCATGTTCTATGGCTGACCATTTTTTAACATACTCATTGCTCCCTATCATTACTTTGTTATTGCAGTAACGAAGCGATAATTAAAAAGCGCTAAATATATATATATATATATACCTCTACCCCCACATTCATATATATATATATATATATGAATGTGGGGGTAGAGTCACCTTGGCATAAAGTGCTCAATGCTGTGGTAGCAGAGCTAAGTATACATAAGTTAAAGAATTAAAGAGGACACATCGATTCTTTGTGACTATGAGTTTCGCGCCTAAGCGCTCGTCAGACGGAACTTTCTTTCTTTCTCAGACAGAAAGTTGTGTCTGACGAGAGGCGCGAAACTCAGTCACAGAGAATCGATGCGTCCTCTTTAATTCTCTAACTTATGTATGTATATATATATATATATATATATATATATATATATATATATATACACACACATATATATAGATGCCATTTTACCCGTTTTTAGTTAAGAACATATTCGATGTTTCATTTTGATTGAGTAAAGGACTCAAGCACCGTCAGAAGTCAATTGTTATGATAATCAAATCGCAACATGTATGATTTCAATGTCACTTGTCGATTCAGAATGCTATTGGAGACACTCTGATCATTTTAAAATCAAATTTCACATTCAGAAACTTGCTCCATTTTGGTGGAAACAAACCTAAACTTGAACCTTTTTGGTTGTTTTTAAGTTACACGTCGAGTTAAATCAAAAAAGAATTTTCCATTTCTAACTTCAGCTTTGAAGGAGGATTTTCTGAAAGCCTTTATTTTCTGAAAAGGTATCGCAAGACATATTTAAATCGGTGACTTTTATGATATAAAAAACTGGTATGTCTCATAACAATATCTTTGTTCAATTACCGCTTTTGGTAACCTTGAATTTGGACAGAACGCTTATTCAGTTGTTCATGATAACTTACAGCCTGAACAAATAAGCTGATAATATTTTGGTCCGCTTTGACTATGCCAGGAATCCACCAATCGAAAATTCGAAGAACGAAATGGAAGCTGCGTACGAGGTTCCTTGAATACTTTATGAGGATCGAATGGGCAGAATCTTATCTCTCTCCCTTACTCTTAGAACACGAGAAAATCTTCTATTGATCACTGATTTTCAATCTTTTTTCTTAGGCAAAGCGAGCATTGGAGAGTATGTGTAGAGCAGCAAGAGAGCATTGCAAGCGTGAGGTCCTTTCTGACGACTTCGACCTGCCTCGACTCCGCCCCGGTCAATAAAATTCAAAGTTTCAGTTATTCGAGGAGAAGAGAGATTATCCACGATAGAGAAAGAGGACTTCTATTGTCATAGCAGAATAACTGAATCTAGAGACATTTGATAACACCATTGACTTGTATTTAACCGACCTAATTAACTATGAAATAAATTGCGACGTTTGATTCAGTCATGATGCACAAAGTGTCCCAAGGATTGATATCACCCCTCTTAGCGCTATAGCTTTAAATTGTACCTCAGGCATTTGACAAGAACGGAGTGAAACTATCGATTTCTGTTGATCTTTAGAATTCACCTACGTGACGTTTGCATCCACACGTAAAATGTGCGCGCGGACTGTTTTATTTGATATATAAGCAATGGCTTCCATTTGGCGAAAATATTAAGATCTGCACGGATATATTGTTGCTGGAAAGCAATAATATATATTACAGTTTTAGCAAGGTTCATTTTCAATGACTTGGCCAGTCGCGCGCGTGCAAAATTACGACATGGATTTTAACAAACATTAGAGTTCCACAAGTGCCTGGAAGATGATTCAATGTACAAAAAAAATCAGAACATTCTTCGATAGATGCTTCAGTGTGGTTTATGGCTGAAGGTGTAGAGGGCTGAATACATTCAGAGACACGCCTGTAAATCATTAATATTGTTGCTGGAAAGCAATAATATTAATCATTACATTGATTGCTGATCTTTTATATAAAAACTGACCAGATCTCCAGCAAAGAAAATAAAAATCGTTCTCAGAGAATTCCTGGAAAATGCGACACTTGACAGCATTCGGCTGTATGAAGTCCCTCAGTAATTTCTGTTCTCACCATTACTTCGTTCACCATATTGACCTTTCATTTAAGGGATAAAATTTATTGATGAAATGAAAGTAAACTTATTTCGAGGAAGCCAAGAAACTGCTGTAGCCTGTGGTTAGCAGGGGTCAAATATGAGGAGAGGAAAGAAATTGAGTTCCACGGTCCCTCATGCGCAGTTTAAATTGATAAAAATACTTTAGTTCTGGTACCCACTCAATCTAAAACGAGCGGCAGAAACTGACAATATATGAGCCTTTAATTACTATTTAAAATTAAATCCTTCACAACAGCTGCGAGATTGGCGTGTATGATAAACCCCAGGAACTCTAAGTTTACGAAACTTTAATCATCCCTAACAACAATTGGCGTTATTTGCATGACTATAAGTTCTTGTAATATTGCCAAAGCATATGACTTAACCAGGAGGAACAACGGGGTAAAGATGAAAAGTCAGTCGGGCAACATCGACTTCGAATTCATTTGATAACAAACCTATTGTGTAAATTCCAACGTGATAATGATTTAAAATCATTATTTCTTGATGGAGGTTATAAACAGAAAAAAAAGATGGAAATGGGCTTGCAATGAACTAAAGTACTCGATTAAAGTCGCTAAGTCCAAGATTTAACTAGCATTTGCCGTTAATTTTACTATAATCTTAGGCTTACTATAATCTAAGACCGTGTTTAATTGGAGATTTGTAGAAGGCTAAAATTAACGAATCTCACATCTGAATAAGCCAAGTTGATGACCTAAAAGCTTACAAAAAGCGTCAGATCAAAGGTTTCTGCGGCTGTGTAAGGCCATACTCAAGCAGACACTTGTGTGGTAGATATCAGCACACCTAGTGTTTCCGAATATATTAGTTTGAGATACTGTCGTGATTTTCGAATCCCAATCTCAAGAGACAATTCTAATAATGAATTTCTCTCATTTAAGTACGCCTTCTGCAATCCGCCTGTTGATAATAATGGTTTTAATATTACATGAAAGTGATGGATTCACGGCTGGTATTGGTGCCAATGTTCCAGGACGAAAACGCAGTGAAATGAAGGTGAGTCCGGGAGAACTTCAATTTTATAAACCTTCGTTATTCTCAGAATAACGTCATTTAACTGTGAACTACAACTTGAATAATTCGCAGATTGTTCTTCGTAATTTGAGAAATGGTTTTATGTGTAAAGTAGGCTTGAACTGAGCTTAGCGAAATTTTTTCCGTAACTCAGATTTTAATTCGTTTTTAGTTAGCAGTGCATTGTAAATTACGGTATCAAAATCCGCTTCCTTTCTGAAAAATTGATATAGAATTTTGAAATCTCTGGAAAACCTTCCGTTAAAAGTATTCTAGCTAGCGAAGGAAGCATTTGCTTGATTTAGGTAAGTTAACTCGCATATTTTTCGCATAAGTTGTGGTTAAACTCTTTTCGTTAGGCCTGCCTCAAGAAAGAAAAACCCTCTCACACTGCGTACATTAACCGTTATAACTAGGCTCTTCAAATATTAGAAGTTATGTGCAAAACGTCCACGCCTTCTATCCCGTGGTAAATGTTATTTTTACCTCTTTTCATTTCTCTTTTCACTGTTTTAAATAGCTCCAGCAAATATCACAGAGACCAAATCCATCGAGGTTTGCCAAAGGAACACCACATAGGAGAAGATATCAGTCTGACGAGATAATGACGAAAAGATCGATGAATACAAGAGGAGGTCAAAAGAAAGCAGAATTTAGCTGAGCTAGCAGAACATTTATCCAAAAAATTCTCCAGCCAAAAATTTTCAGCAAATGAAAAGTGGAACTTAGTGCTGAGCTTGGAACTAATTTAATAGATTTTTTTTGCATCCTAATTAAACAGAGTAATATGAAGCAGGTTACTTTAATTTTCTGTTTTCTTTCATTCCTTCATGAAAATCAATAAAACTTCCTAACTAATTTGGTTCTGAGATATACGCCAAGTTATTTATCCGAGGGGGTGAAAGAGGTTTTTTCGAGATGCCAGATTAAGTGTCTTGTAATGTTCTTGACATGTGAAAATATGAAATTAAAACCGAGTGAACTGTGAATTTTTTTGCTCGTTGTGAAAGTTGAACCTTAAGGTGTTCATTCAATTCCTCTGTGATGCGATGCGTTATTTCTACTTTGTGATTTGAGTGAGATGTGCGCAAGACTCCCCACCCACCCCCAAATGCACTAAACTTCCCTACGAGTAACCGGGATGCCTTGGAATGAGTTCATTTGGCGCCCCTTTGGGCATTCAAAAGTAGTTTCTATGCAACTACAATCAGAAACATCTTATTTCAGTCTGCACAATAATCTTAACAGAGGTTTAAAGTAGTTTGTCAGGTTTAGAGCAAATATTAGTCACACGTAGACATACTAAAGTACCCACCTTGTGCCCCATAACTGGGGCAAATTCGCCTTGTTTTTTTCTTCCTTGAGTGGGTTTTTCGTCTCGTAAAAAAGCTTCCGCTTCTTCAATAAGATCTTCTAAACTCTTGCTTTTCTCTGCCGCTATTTCGGATAAAATTGATCAGTCATTCCCAGAATTCTAAGTAAACCCGGTCACTTGTGAAGAAGACAAGTTAAGATTATTTCCATTTGAGGAGTAGATCTTGTTCGCTCCTTTTCAAACTTCGTCCTTACAGGGTGTGGGAAGGGTGTAACTGTGCCACATTTCATGGAAATCACTTTCCGTTAAGAAGATCTTTCAGGAACATAGAACTTTTTATGTTTTAAACTGTCGGGTGATTCGCTCATTCAGTAAAAATTAAATGGCACTTCCACCGACACCTGTGGCCATCAAAGGGCCTCAATTTTTTTTTGGAAATTCCAACTCACTATCAAAATAAAATTTCCCAACGAGTCTGCCCCAGTCTGTCCTCGGCCAATATGGCGAACAAGGCCTGACCGTAAACAGACGCGCGAACAAATTTACAACGTTTTGGAACGGATGCTGTATATTTGTACTCAAGAGTGAGACAATATGAAGATCCAGGGTTGTGTGGCAATAGTAACAGGAGGAGCACAGGGGATTGGAGAGAAAATTTGCCGAGCTCTGCTGGAGAAAGAATGCAAAGTAAGTATTGAATGCAACTCAGGATTGTGATGTCTGCAAACACAATTTGAGAGATCATCGGGTTAATTCCTCGCTGACATCAGGGATCATTCAAATATTTCGAGTGAATTTTTTTTCTATTTTGTTCATCGTAGTTTGGATTAATCATTCTCTCAATTAAGTTTGTGAACAGTGTATCCTTCCTAACAGCTTGCTTGCCAAGCCTTCGAACAGGAGTGAGGATTAGGTTGACCTTGTTATGATACAACCTCGCTGCTTTTCATATGTAAATTACTTTGTTATCATGCTAACTAGGTACTGGTCTCTTTCACAACAAGCTCACCTTCAGCCTCACTCCAAAATGGCCTATTGAACATGGTATGAATGTTGGCATTGCATTTTGCAGTACTAAAATGATTTTGAAAATTGTGTTCCTAATATTCTGTATGAATATTCCAAGAAGGGGCTGTGTGAGGTCAATCAATCAATCCACATCATTCAATCTCATAATCTGAACTGGGTGGTCAAAAGATTTTGTCCCAACTGTAGGGGTTTCAAGGCTTAAAGGCAGTGCACTTTACTGAAACTTCTCCAAAATTGACTAAATACTTTCACCTGTGCAACCTCTTTGATTACTTTGTTTCATGCATTTCAGCTTTACTTTTCCGAATCATACAAGTTGTTAGGGAGCTCAAACTAGGCCAACAACGGCAGCATGTGCTAAAACTTAAGCACCTCATGCTGCCAATACAATTTAACCTTGGATATTAATTGTCTTGCTTTTGGACATGGTGAACACATCAGGCTATATAAATAATATGAAAATACTTAAAAGCTTAAAAATTCATTTTAAATTGCTGAATACCTGGGTTTTTCTATCAGTAACTGCTTCCTTGTGCCTGCAGGAGTAGCTTACAGTCTGCAAGTTATGAAGAGATAGGTGGCAATATTTGCATTTTCATTTATCAAGGTTGCCATATTGGATTTAAATCATGATAAAGGCCTTCAATTACAAGAGAGTTTAGAAAGACAGTATGGATCAGGAAAAGTGATCTTCATTAGGTGCGATGTTTCATCAAAGTCTCAAATGAAAGGTATTGATCAAAACAATAATTTTAATGGTGCCAATATGAGCAACAATTTGAGTTTAATGAGTTCAACTTTTTTCTAGCTAACAGTTTTAGCCCATTATTTTGATCCTCTGACTGTCTTTTGAGCCATTGAAGGGAACTTAGGTACAGTTGGTCTGAAAAATTGTCTAACAATTGGCTAGGAAATGTTAGGTGGCCCCTGGTGATGTTGTTGAACTCTAAACAAGATGTTGGAGATCTTTACTCTCATGGTAATCTGTACACATTAGACTGGACTCAGAATGTTGATGAGATGCTCTCAGATCCTCTCCAAGATATCAGTCATGGGGACATTAAGCCTCCTAAAGACTGAATAGGAAGCAGTCAACTGTTTAGTGTCAGTTGAGGAAATATTGTCAATAGCATGGGTATAGCACCCAAACTTGTTGACAGAGGTTAACATGCTGAAGAGCTCAGTACATGAGCTTCAGTTCTTGGGTAGTTCAGTGCAGCAAGAAATATGGACATTACATTTACATTGCAGACAATGTGATAACAGCCATTCAGTTTAACTTGATCTGTCACATGTGTTACGATGTTTTAACCCTAAAACTCCCAAGATCTGATTGTTAATTCTCCCCTCTAGCTACAACACATTTCTTTGTAAATTGGTTCTGTGGTGTTGGATCAAGATAACAACTTCTTCAAGTAGTTTGAGTATTGAAATTATAGGGAAAAGTTATGTATTAATCACTTCAAGGAGTTCAACTCAGTGTTCAAGGGATGAGTGTTTAGACTGAGGAGTCCTGTGTGACCTATTGACTGACTAAATTGCTGTTAGGATCATTAACCACTGACAGACTGACTGACTGACTGATTGTTAAGCTTGTGGGGCTTAACTTTGTTTAATAATTAACAATGAATTATTATAGTTATTTATCCAAGTGTAAATTGCTTTTCTTTGTTGCCCTATGGCTTATAGACTCCTTCAAGAAGACAAAAGAGGTGTTTGGTCAGATCAATATTGTCTGTAATAATGCTGGTATATCATCAAAAAATGAAGAGTGGGAAGAAGAATGGGATAAAGAAGTTGATGTCAACTTGGTGGGTAGAATTGGTAATTTGCTGTGGTTCATAACTTTACTAGGTTTATTTTTATTTTTACAGATTTTATTTTTGAATCTTAGATTTCTTAGTGATTTTAGTTACAGGACTTTTTTGATAACAGTTCCTTTTAATCGAACTGATAGGTTATCCTGTATAAATATTTGCATTATTATTATTGTTATTATTATTATTATTGTTTATTATTATTAGATGATAGGATTATTTTGATTAATTTTCATTGAATGGTATTTGAAAGGCTGGTTTTCACCAAAAAAAAAATTGGGGTTGAAGTCATAATCAGTTGTGCAGAGTGCTGTGATCTTGTGAATAGCAAACATGCAGAGACAGAAACAAAGTGCTGATGCCAATTATGACTCTGACTTTTTTATAACGAGCTAGACTAGTGAAAAATAGATTGTTAAAGTTGTTTTCTTCCTGGGCCTTAAAACTTGCATTGTAGTTTAGTTGTTCTGACAGCTTCTTTTGTGACTCTGACAATCTATTTTGCACTGAATCATAAGGATTGGAGTCATAAGCACAATTGGAACAAAAGAGAAACATTCTGGTTATTTTGATTCTGATTCTAACCAACTTACAACTCCTCTCATGACTCTTATTGATTTTCACTTGCATAAGTACAATTGTTCATGCAATTTGAATTATCACCCCAACTCTGTCTTTTAAATCTGTTGCTGGTGAAAACCAACTTTAAGGGGTTTTAAGCAATAAGATTGCAGAAGCAGTGGCTTCCAGGTTAGTGCAACAAACTCTGTACTGAAGGGTCTTGGTGTGGATTTAAGTAATAGTCATTCACTGTGTTGTGTTTTTGGGAATGACGCTTAACTTGCACAATATGGCCTCTCTGCCCTGATGTATCAGTGATGACTAACAAACTTTTAAGAAAATCCCATAAAACATCTTACGGGGGAAGGTAACCCTGTGATGAACTTGCATCCCGCCCCAGTAGGTACTGAAGCAGAAGTAAGCCATGGAAGAATTTGCTTTGTGGCTCATAGCCTGATTCCTTTTCTTGTTTTCATTTTTGACAGTAAGACTTTCGATAATCTTTAGGGATTTTGTTCCACAGCTTCATTGTTATGTTGTGGTTGTTTTTGTAGAAGAGTGTAATTCATGGAACTTTTCTTGGTGTTCATCACATGAGTTGGATGCATGGAGGAATGGGTGGTGTTGTTATCAATGTGGCATCAATGGCAGGTAGTCATGGAAATGAAATACGTAGCAAAATGTTTGAATTACATGAATTGTTTCCATCATATAGGGTTAATTATAATTAATAAGTTTCATATTTTCCTGAAGTAAGTTTCTTTTAATATAATTATGATTTCATGCTCACATTACCTGCTGTACCAACAGCTGTTTAAGGCCATTACATTGGCTAAATTGAAGGTATCCAGTCAACTTGCCGACGGTTCAACTCGCCAACGCCAACTCGCAGACATATAAAATTGAGTAAAAAAGTCAGTGAGTTGGTCCTCAATCTAATACAACTTATTAGAAGTTAAACATACAGAAAAGTAAACAATATTTAGTAAAAAAACACTGGTGAACATTGGTGAACATCAAACAGAAGCTCAAACATTGGTGAACATTGGTGAACATTGGTGAACATCACCAATGTCTGTAACAGCTTAAGACGCAAATGAGTTATTGTGCTACAACAACACCGTAAAGACTCATCATGATTTTTTAAAGAAAACTTGGCTTTCTAGACAAGATCTTTAGTAAAAAGCAATTCTTTTTATTTGCAACAAAGTTTATAAGGATCTCAAGGCGAATAAAGCAAAGTAAACATTGCCAATGACTATATCCGCTTCAGATGTGAATGAGTTAACTTGTTCGCATCAGAAGCTGTTATAGTTATTGGTGATGTTTACCTTCTTTGTTCACCATGAGGTTCTTTTAAACTTTGTTGGAAGAAAAATTTTTTCTTTTACTAAAGATCTTTTACTTTTCTATAAACTTTTATAGATAAGTTCTATAAAAGTTTTAGAGTTTTCAGAAGTTTTAACTTCTGATAAGTTGTACTGGATTGAAGACCAACTCGCCGACGTTTCTACTCGATTTTATACGTCGGCGAGTTGGCATTGGTGAGTTGAACCGCTGGCGAGTTGACTGTAATTCAAATTGAATGCTCTTCCTTGTTGAATGTGTTGGAACTTCTTTCCCCAGGATGATCATGCTGCCGTTATTTCAGGTACAAACTTATATGTCAGCTGAAGGCAACACATTTTTTCAATAGTTCGAATGCATAAAAAACCTTTTCACTTCACAGGCATTTTCCCTTTAGGACAGTCCATGGCTGTGTATTGTGCAACAAAATTTGGAGTTGTTGGGTTTTCACAAAGTCTTGGGGTAAGTATGGATTGACCCCTGAACTGTCAAATACATCCAGTGGAATACAATTGTTGTCAGTATCTTTTAATATGGAGGTGTTTAAAGGTAAATATTTTATTTTCGTTTCCAAACAGCCTCCGAAAAACAAGGTCTCAGTTTTAAAGTGTGGTCAATGTAGAAAGTAATGGCCACTGATTTTGCCTTTTACAAGAAATTGGCTGGTGCATTTGAACACAATTTTTGCCTCACAGGGAGGGAATTTGAATAAGCCAACTTTCACAAGTTCAAATGCCCAGGGGGGGATGTTGGAGCATGGATTTAACTGATGCATAATCAACATTTTGAATGACATATTCTGTTTAGCATTCAAATCAAATTGAAACTTGTACCAGCATATAATCACTGGAGTTGCTTCTTCAAATGCAGTTTGCATTTTCTTAGCACAATGTAAGGAGCAAAACTGTACTGTTCAATAGATCCCCTGTTTATTCTGTCATTGAAATCAACAATGAATCAAATTGAGATTATTATTATTATTAGTATGTCAACATAGAATGCAGGGTAATTTAAAATTTGATCATGTTTACCTTTCATCTTAGGGACTTTATGAGACAGAAGGAGTGAGAGTAAATTGTATCTGTCCAAGCTACACAGAAACAGATTTGTTTTGGTCCTCATTTGATGAAAAGCGAGCCAAAGAAACTCCAAACTTTCAAACAGTTTTAAGATATGGACTAATCAGGTATCTAAGCAGAAGTCATACCAAGAGCATGTGTTGGATATAAATCTACAATACTTTTAGAAAAGGAAACTTTGCTGTCATGTTGCAATTTTGATCTGCCCCTGGCTGGTTTCAACATCACTAGGTTTTTTTTTTATGACATAATCCTGTAGCAGTGAAAAGTGCATTTTCTTTCTTCTTTTTTGTAGAGGAAAATACAATGTTGCAATATGTAAAATAAGGATTTTTATCTCTGACAATAACAGAGGATTTTTGACAATTTAATTTCATCAAATACTACAGTCACCCAGGTTGAATTCATGTATTCCATATTTTAGGCCTGAAGTTATTGCCACAGGAGTTATACAGCTGATTGAGAAGGACAGTACTAATGCAGCAGTGATGATGGTGACTAAAAAGAGAGGAATTGAGATCATGAGACCAAGGGGATCAAGAATATCAAAACTATGAATTGTTAATTATTATGGAGATGATTTAATCTTAAATGAGACAAAAAAAAACAAAAAAAAAATTAGCGTAATCCATTAGTTTTGAAAAAAGATAGTTGAGAGGGAAGATACCAATGTGAGAGCTGTTTATAATTTTTTTTCCAAAGTACAAATCCATTTTTGATTGTTTTTCAGAACTTTGTTGAAGATATTTTATTAAGTACGTATTTTGCTAAATAATAAGTGATCTAGCAATCAGTTAATGTGAATTGTTTACTCATGGTCATTTGATAAGTCTGTCAATTAGTCCATCAAGGAAGCACAGTATGGTCTAATTGATCTGAGAGCTAATTGATTAATCAATTGAGTGGACAGTGAATCAATCAGACAATGAATCAATTAATTAATCAATCAGTAAATTAACCAATCAGAAAATCAATCAAACAATCAATCAGTCCACCGATCAATAAATTAAGCTGTCAATCATCCAATCAGTTGATTAATCACATTTTTTGCCGCTTCCGTCAACTTACGAAGCTTAACTAAAAATATATTTTTGATACTTTTCATAACGGTGAAAATTCACAAATATGTTGGCTATGGGGAAGAAAAAACCCTGTGGGAATTGTAGCCCTCTCTTATTAGCAAGTAATCATAGAGGGAAGATAAAAATTTTTTAAGCCCAGGTTTGCCAACGTACAATTTACCCGAATCGTGGTTTTAATATATATAATTTATGAAAAAAAAGGCCTCCATTTGTCGCGAAAATCTGCTCAGACCCCTATCCTGGGACACTTCTGTTTTGATAATCGAACAAATGATGTTCAAGGACAACTATTAAAACAGTTTACTTACGCTATTTTAGAATTAAATGCTTACGAAGAGCCACGATGGATTTTCCCAGCATGGGCGTGGGATGTTGCCTGTTCTGTCGTCTTTTTGTACGTTTTTATAAACACTAGTGTTTGCCTCTTCTTTTGCAGCAATAGCGAAAAGCTCTATCATGTGAGGTTTGCCAATTGGGGAGTATATATCATTTAAATAACGAGCTCGAGATTTCTGTTGAGTGATTTTTGGGGGCGATTTCCAAATCAACCATCACACATTGCAAGTGGGAGCGAAAAATCTAATTTTTAAAGTATACATCTATTATTTGTTCATACGAGACAGATTTACCTTGTTATTTTATGTTGTTTACAATCACTCACTGTTACGCCACTCACCTTCACAATTGCCTATTACAGAAAAGACGGCGATTAGGTAGCCAATCAGATCGCAGTAGTTTTGATAAAGTGCAAACAGATTTACACCAACACCGGAAATTCCCTTGTTTCAGCATGGGCATATTTCATCACGTGATGTGTTTAGACCGATCGCACGTGAGCGAAAATTTTGATATATTTTTTTTTCATGTGAGCACAGCTGCCGCGATGTTGCCGGTGGTTTGTGAATAGTAGGCTGTTATCAGGAAGTACCATTTAGCGTGATTAAGCCATACCAGGTTATCGTGACAATAAACTCAGGATTCCAGCTGATCCTCCTACAAGTGGTAACAATAGTTGACATTACTCACACTCAGGGCTGGTAGTTTAAGCGAAGTCTTACTTTACGAGTGACTAGCATCTAATTTCTCTCTAAAATATCACCCCTGAATTACACATTCATTTACAAGAATAAATGAAATGATCACCTACTAAAGAGGCTCTTGACTGTTAAACAAGTTCTCTTTGTCAGCAACTTAGGAAACGTGTACAGAACAGTATGGAGAATATGCATACTGATGTAAGGGTGTAAAGGATTAATCGATAAACCTCGAGATTGCTCTCGTAATTTAGGTGTTGTTTGCATTTTAAAATTCATTTGAAATCAGTCAAAAATTAACAAGCTCTCTTTACCTTAATCACTGTTTCCAAAAATAAACATTTAATTATAATAGACGTTTGACGATATCAAAGGATGGGTTTCATCGCGTTCTTGATAAATGTTGGCCAGACTTTGTCGGAATAAGAGGCGATTGACGTTTCTCTTATGTCCTAGCTCTCATTTGATGAATTTACAGAAATATTTGACATGATTAAAGTTCTGCCGAAAATCTTCGTCTGATGTTTAAGAGACTGCACGTTTCTCTAGCACTTGGGAAATTTATGAGAATTCATCGGTGGAGATTTACTTGCTTAGCTTTCTACATGGCACGCGATAAGTTTTTTGAGCACCAGCGAATCCTAAGGATTTGCCCTTGCTACCCAACTTTGCCCTTACATCTATGAGGAGTTCAAGTCTAAGAAATCCGCGAATATTATCAATTCTGTTAAGGAAATTTGTAGAGCTTCATCTCCATTTTCGTGCCCCCCACGGACCTTAAAGGACCTTTCAAAGGTCCAAAGACTGAAAACTAGAAATGAAACCGAGATGCATCCCCCTTCTTTCTTCTCCTTTTTCCTTTACTTTCCAGTACAGAAACTGTAAGAAAACTTAAAGACTGAACTTTTTTTGGTTGAAAAACAAAATATTTGAAACAGATAAAGTCGAGATACGTTGGTTGAGTGGTTCAGACGGTACGACCACTCAGCAGGGGTGGCCTGGTACGACTTGTCAGTCACGTGACTGGAAGCCATGTTTGGAAGAAAGTTTGGTGGCCGCTCAAGATGGCGGGTAGGTTCTGAATTCCGATGAGGTATTCGTCCCATTTCAGCACTAATTATCCGTTTCTTTTCAGATATACAATTTCACATAGAGAATACTGATGGTCCAGAAGAAGAGGACCAAGAAGATGGTACGTTTTGTTTAAAATCTCCCTGGATAAGCGGCATTCGTTTTCTACAACGCATCGGTTTTCGTTAGTTTCACGCTTCAAAAGTAACGTATTACTCAATATCTTGATTTCGCAGAGGGATATGAGATGGATCAAGACGAGACGTCATTACACTGTTATGCCTCCGCTGAAGAACCAATGAGTCCTCTCAATAGAATGGAAAGATTTATGTTGAGCGACATAATCGTAAATCGGTAAGTTTGGTAAAGTTCATGCCTGCATCCGCTCTGATCTGCTTTGCACGTGTGAATAAAAACCACGTCTACTTGTTGTACTTTCGCATGTCTGTTGAACCCTCCTTAATCAAATATTTTATTTGCAACAATTTTATTGTAGACAAATGGCAGCTAGATGTTGTCAGGACGCTTTAAGAGCGAGCAAGGCGAAGGAAGAAGTTTATCATGTGTTGAGGCTAATGGTTCGCTTATCGGACGACATAGGTAAGACCTTCATACATAACTCCTAGTTTCGCGTGAAGAACCCACATTAGAGATAACGGTCTCTGCATGTCATGAATTCGAGAAAAGCTTCTAATTTAGTTTTTAATCTTGTTTGAACTTGGAAGAATCATTTATTTTTAACCCATCTCAGCGGAGTCCATATTTTTGCGGTGTACAATTTTGAACTCTTTATCGCAGCGGGTAAGGCCGGACTACGCTTTTGCTATATTTGAAGGAAAGAAAAGGTGATAAAAAATTGTTGGTAGTTGAATCTGTTCGTCGACTGTGAAATAATTATTACTAAGCCATACGGTAGACTTTAGAAGTATAGCATGTATTTTTTCGTCCCAGTTGTTCGTCTCGTCGTGTTTGAAATTTTGCTAAACAAAATGAAGGCAATGTTTATGTTGATCCCGCTAATGAATTACAATTTTATTCCACTAATAAGAGTCGGTTGATTATAAAAGAAAACCTCAGCTATTTAGAATCACGATCATTTGATTTTAAGATAAGATATGTTTAAAAATTCACAATTATTCGTAGCTACTGTACATCTGTACATGTGTGTAAGGAATAGCTGCATTTGGGAAGAGCCTAGACAAATAAAAGAATTATTTCACAATCAAAATATTGACACCTCAGCTACGTAGTTCTGACGAATGTGTACTTGTATTTAATTTAAATATTAGTCATGGTCTAAAAAGATAAGCTAAGTGCATTTTCAGAAGATAATATCATTGTATTTCTTTAGTGTGGTTGTACAACAAGAAAGTCATAATTTATATGTAATGATTTACTCATTAAGACGGGTCTAAACCAATTTGTTGGGTTGTTATGGTTTGAAATTGTTAAAAATGAGCTTACCCTAAGATTTTATGCTGGTCATGGTATTAACTACTTGTATTATCCAACTATACATGACTGCAGCAGCAAAGAAGCTGCTATTTTGTATTCCATACACAGATTTGGGCAGGATGCATGCACAGCCCCATGAATACAGTTCTTGGATAAAGAAATAGTAGATTGCCTTTGGAACTATGGCTTTGTCTATGAATTGCATGGGTTATCCAAAAAATCTTTCCTAGATTTCTACATAGAGTGCTTGGTTGTGAAGTGACATTTTTAATGGGAGACAGGAAAGTGGCGTGAAGAAATATAGCCCAAATGCAGAGGTTTCATTAAAAGCCAGTAAGGGGTGGTATACCCCCACCTCTTGTTGCCATCTTTTAGGCCCAGGAACAGGCTTTTTTGTTTGGATTTTGCTTTACTGCACAGCTATAAATTTTACCAGGAGCAGCCACTTATGGAAAAATTTGTTCAAACTCCTGTGCAAATGTGAAAAAGGGTACACAAGTACATTGTATTAGTTAACACCTAGTGCTTGCTATTAGTTGCGTTAGTGCAAGAAGCTTCAGTATCATTCAATGTGTCCCCCTCTATCAAAGAGTAATTAGAGGTACCAGCAATCTGAGTGGGAAACTTGGGGAAATATTTGTGGATAACCCTCATGATGAGGAAACAGGACTTAACAGGAAGACTTGACAACAATTTTATTTTATCTTTTAGAACCATCTGTTAGAGTGGAGCTGATGGAGCAAGTCCCGCATGTAGCTGTGTACTGCTATGAGCATCATTCAATGATGGAGGCTGTGCCACAGTACATTTTATTCATTGTGCTGCGGTTTTTGACAGATTCAAACAATCAGGTAGATTAAATTCAGAGTAAATTCCATTTTAAGCCTCTTGACATTTTTGATTTGCCATAAAGAATTATTGCTTGAGCAAATGGAGTGATCCTGAATGTTTTTGATAGTTTGGATGTATGTATTTGAGTGGACGAAGGAAGACCTTCCAGAGAACATTACCTTGGTGGAAGTAGAGATTGTAAAAGAGAATAATTACTTTTAAATCAAAGAATAACATGTATGTTCATGTACAAAAAGTTTGTCAAATAAGGTTAAAACCGTTAGATGAAGTGACCTTTCTAAAAATACACGAACCAAGAAAAATGTAGATGTTTTCAACTGTTTCACTTTAACCTTGCTGTTCCTTTTTTTGCTTTTTTTTTTTCAGTAATATTTTTAGTGTGTGTAAGGTTCTCAGCTATTAATAGTAATTTCTGAGACTCTATACAGCTGTTTAAATACATGTATATTATGATGCAATCTCTTTAAATGAGAGGAAATGCCACTCATATTACTTTTCTCTTGGCGTGTCAGACACAGCTTTAAATTGGCTGGAAATTAGCTTTACTATAATTCCTTTTTAGCCTCTTGCAACTAATGAAAATGTGCTGGTTGACCCAAGAGACCTTTGATTTTATGTGTAAAACTGAAAGTTGTTATTGCTTTGTTTTTTGATATTTAGGTTCGAAAAACAAGTCAGGCTGCCCTATTGGTTCTGTTGGAACAGGAAGTTGTGGAAAGAGGTGAAAACAAATCTTGTTATTCATTTCATTTTACTCCTGATTTGCTTCTGAGTTATTTATTTCTTTGGGTTAATATTCAGGTTTGCTCTGGTAACAAATTCAGTCAACTCTTAGTACATGTATATAATTATGTAACAGATAAGTGACAGTTTGACTTTTGATTACAATAATTGGTAAAGAAAATCAAACATTAACAACAAGAAAACCTAATAGAAACCATTTACAAGACAAGACAAAACAATGCTTTATTTGCATAGATCACTAAAATTCAATTATAATAATTCTTTTATTTTACAGTATCGTTGATTAATTCAAAATGTGTTTCTAGTATCAATATGCTAATGTTTCTTTATGAATCAGGGAGCGTAATAAAGCAGAGGTTTTCCTGATAGCTCCCCTAGGTTAGGTTTCTTTGCAAGTAGTGCCATATTAATATTTCTAGGAAACAGTTATAGTAAATTAAGTGTTGGTTAGATAACTTGTTTGTTAAATAACATGGTAATTAAATAACATATTGGTTAACATCATTGTTTGTGCCATTGTTTGTGAATCACTAAAACTTTGCTTATAGAGCCTAGAATGTGAATGCCTTTTTTTTATTACCTCTGTGTATCCAGTTTGGCCTAACAGTAATAGTCATGTCTTGAAACAAGTACTCATCTGGTTCAAAGGGCTGGAGTATTACCTATTTGCATTTTCCTAATTAACAAAGTGCAAAGTGGTAAGACTTCAGCACAATGAATCGAGAACACCATTAAACTAGTAATAAGGACATGTTTTGTGGTGAAATGTTTAAAGTAAATTAACTATTAGCTATTTTAGACCTCATGCCATATAAGTCATATTTAGTTTGTAGATTTTTGAAATTTGCTTACATTCACGTACTTGTACATAATTCTAATATCTCAAAGGGACATTTCTTTTTCAGAGGATGTTGAGGAACAAGTCTGTCCTGTTCTTCTCCAGTTGACTGCTGGGGAGAGTAATGACGACTTCAGATCTGAAGCAGTGGCTGTAAGTTTTGTCACCATATTTCCATGAATAGCATAGCTCCATTTTTCTGCATATAAACCCACACACAATCCACAATTCCTCCAATCACTCTTATGAAGGGCAAACACTCGAAACATCAGCCTTTAAACTTTTTAAAGTGGTCAATTTACATTTTCAACTCAGTTGATTACACTTAATAACCTCGTTATGCTCTCCCACTGACGCAGCACCACAGTTTCTTTAGAAACTTACCCCCTTTATACATTTATTTTAGACAAGCTGCATGAAGGAAAAGTATTAATTAAGTTTTAAAAGTTTTAGTTATAAAAATGTTGTGGATATTTTCCATTTACTCCTAAAACTTCAGGCCTTTCTCTCGGTTGAAATTTGATCTCTTTTACTTTCCTCTCAGATTGCCTTGAGTTAAAACTGCTTTTGTTAAAGATTTCACCTGATAAGAGAATCAAGACAGATTTGAAACATTAGTTAATAGTTTTACATTGTGAAATGTGTCAATAATTTTGTTTGTGTGCATGTGTTTTTTTGTTTGTTTTTGTTTGCTAATTAGTTGATGAGTAAGATGGCTCCGCTTGTTGGAAGAGACATTACAGAGAGATACTTTTTACCAAGATTTGAACTTCTCTGTTCTGATCCTCTGTTTCATGTCAGAAAGGTATGATGCAAAGAACTGTTGAAAACTTATTATTAGTGACATGCACATTCTGACAGAATAAAGTCCAAATATGAAAAACTTTCATGGCTGGTTTCAAGCAATATTGTTGATTCAGTTTTGCATGTGTGGCCCCATCATGAATGGTGTAATAAAGTGATGAATAAATTTGTTAGCAAGTTCAAATACACAATGTCAGTTAAGGTGTAGATAACCTTTGTATTGTTTTTTTTTTGTGTGTGTGTGTGTTGATCATTACACTATCTTACAGTTTTTAAGTTACCTTTGGTTGACAAGAGAAGTCTCTGTAGGTTTTTCAAACTGTAGCATTGTGTTGCCTAGTAGTTGAACTATCTTTGAAAACGATCAAGATAGCTTCTTGATCAGGAGGTACTGTAACTGTATGGTTAAAAGTATTATGGCAGGGAATCAGAAGATGGCTGCTTTGTGCAAACTGAAAGATTTCATCTAAAGTGGTATACTCGTGCATTAATTTATCTTCTGCTTTTCACCAAAAATTCCTTTCACAAGTGATTTTTCATGTACTTCAGGTTTGTGCATCAAACTTTGGTGAGATGTGCAGTGTTCTTGGACCAGAAGTTACCAATGAAAAAATGGTAAGAAACTGGGTGTATGAAATTTATTTTAAAAGAAAAATTGTGTAGGGAGCTTCAGGTGTAATCATTGACTGAATGTGTGGCTCTTATCACATCCTTTAACTTATTCTTCATTTTGCAATACTCTAAAAGATGTTTGTTTCTTTTACAGCTTCCAGTCTTCTTCAAACTGTGTCAAGATGGAGTCTGGGGTGTTAGGAAGGTGTGTCTGTCACCAAGTTTACGATCTTGAAGTAAAACTAGTTGCATTATACTCTGTATTTTCTTTTGTTCCAGACACTGCATAGGATAATCATTCTTGGTTGGGGTATTACATATAAAAAGGGTTTGGCCTGTTTTTTTCTTTCTCACTTTCTTACTTATAGTATGAAAGGTTCACACTTAGATGTTACATGTACAGTTGTAATCTAACAACAGAGTTAAAATAGATTTTGACATTAAATAAGCTGCTAACATGTGCATTCCTGTTTAAATAAAGGCATGTGCTGAGTGTTACATGAGTGTGTCAAGTGCAAGTCCAGCAGAAACAAGGAAAAGAGAGCTCGCTCAGTTTTTTGTTAGTTTGCTCTGTGACAAGTCAAGATGGGTATGTACATACCATCATGCTGAATGATCAGTATCATTTGTGTAGGATTATTAAATTTTATTGTTGATTTTATGGTCTAGGTGACTTGCATGCAGTATATGCAGGGTTTTGATACTAAAGTGCTCTTTAGGATGGTTGTATTTAGAAGTCTGAATCATTGCAGTGAAAAAAATCACTGTCAAGGCCTTAAAGTTCTTGTGTTAGAGTAAGATTTTTCATTTAGTTGAAAGCACTGTTTGAGAAGGAGTGCAAAAGGATTAACATTATACACATGCTTTTCAAATGCTTTTCACTTGCCTTTCTCATGCATGTGAAATTTTACTTTAAAAAAGTGTGAAAAATAACAGAGACTGTGCCTAGAATTTTACTTTTATGAGCACATGAGCACATGCAGATATGCATCTACTTTGGCCTCTTGTCACCCATCATTAGCACACTTCCTCTTAATTAAAAAAAAAAAAAAGAAAATCATGATTGATTACTTTTGTTCCAGGTTCAAATGGCAGCATATCAAAGCCTGGGACCATTTATTTCCACATTTGCAGACCCAGCTGATAGTGGTTTTTACATAAATGAGGATGGTATTTTGACTGCTTTACCTGAGAGAGAGCTGGAAACTCCTCCTCCATCCCCAACTAAAACAGAGGGAGAACCAACTTCTAGTGAAACTACAAGTGGGGAATTAAATGAAGAGTAAGAGAACAGAGTACTAACCCTGCAGTTAAAATACTTTGTGTTTGAATAATTAGTGAACTTGTGTTCATATGCTGACAGGGATGTTTTTTAATCCATGCAGGAGAATATAAGTAGTCATTGTTGGAATCTGCATAATTTTAGTTTGTTTAGTTTGTGTACTTCTCTTGTGTTCATTCATTTAAATAGCTTATTTATTTATTTTTGTATCTCGATCTTGTACTTGTTGTATATTTAAGAGTCAGGTAATTAACCCCATCAGGCTTTAATGGTAAAACCTTGGCTCTACTTTACAACAGTCATTCTAGCATGTAATAGCATGATCTGTCCATTGCAGTTCATTTCTGTTGTTCCCTACTCAAATGGAAATCTTCACCTTTGAGTTTAAATAAGCCCATGTAACTTTGAATCACAAAATTCATGCACGGCAGAAGTAACAATATTTAATTTGTTCCAGTGCAACTCTTTTGGGAGAATCCCAAGAAGTAAACAGGCATCAAACTGAACGACAAGCATCTCCTGAGGCTGGCACCACAGATTCTGGTTATATTTCACCTCCTGAAATCATATCAAATGATCAAGACCTACAGAAGCAATCACATGCTGCACAAAACAAGGATGTTGCTGCTCAAACCTGTTCAAAAGAACTAAGAAATTGTGACAAGCACATGACAACGGATCTTGATGAGGTTGATGATAAGTACTTTGATTCATTTCTCTATTGGAGGACTCCTTTACCTCAAGTTGAATTAGATGCAGATGATGTAGGTGTAGGAACTGTTGAAAATGTTAAAAGTGCAAGTGACAAATTAGACTTGAAACCTGGAACCAATGCATTGCATGAAGGAGAAACAAGTGGTTTGCTGGAGACACAACATCGTAGCAACGCCTTTAACCAACATCATCATCGTCATCCAAAGTTGGCATTTATGCATGGTGATGATGACAGTGATGAAGAAGATGGAATCCCTCTTTATTCTCTTACTGATGACTTTCACATGGATCATGGGCTTGGAAAGTTTGATTATGATGATTACAGGAAGCTCAATTTAACTCATACCTCTTCATTTGATGATGATCTTCTTATTGCTGATCACATAACAGCACCACCTGTTCAGGTACAACTCTCAAAATATTATTCGCATTACTGAACTGATTTGTCTTGTAAATTTTTTTGTGGTTGAAGGTTCAAATTAGTTTTCTTAAATGACCTAATCAATGGAAAATGTGGGATGAAATATTTGAAATGATTACCATGACAGAAATTTTTGTTAACCCTTCAACTCACAGATCAAATTTGTGATTCTCCTTACTGTCAACCATACAATTCTTATGTTAGTTCAGAGAATTTAGTATTAGATCAACTAATTATCCCCAAATTGATATTTTTCTTTTTTCTCATCACTCATCTGGTTGATATTGTATTGTTATTGTAAGGAGAAATTCTGTCTTGGTCACGCACATGGGAGTTATAGGGTTAAGGGTTAGTAAGTTCTTTCACCTTTTTCAATATGACAAAGATTATTGTGGTTGCATTTAGTTTGTTTTTTTTTTAATGCATGAGTGCAGATTGTGTTCAGATTTTTTCATGGGAATAAAGATTCCACTTAAATTTGCTTTTCTCTTAACATGTGGCTTCCTTGCTTTGTTTGGTAGCAGTGTTCAAATGTTATCAGGAAGGCATGGGTTTCAATGCTGCAAAAGCCTTAAATTCTCAGGTTTCTTTGTGGCACTTTTTTTTTGTGAGGAAAATATCTTCTCTTTTTTATCATCTACAGGTCAAAATATACTTGTAATTTATTTCATTTAATTTTGATGAATAGCCATGGCCACAGTAGATGAGTTAACCAGGTTATTTCCAATTAATCAATCAGAGTTTAACAGTGTTACTGAAAAATCGTGATATGGGTTGTTTTTTTTAGGTTTTTTTTTTTAATGAAGCAGAACTGGGTTAACAGAAACCATCGGTATTAATTGAGGAACATTAGATTTTTTAACTGCTGAGTTTTGGTTCAATTGAAATTGCCTTTTTGGCGTCTGGTAACAAAGCCACAACAAGAAGTTACATTACTCAGGCACCACAGTTCAATTGCCACATTATTCTCTGTCAGTATACTGCTGCACAGAAGCAAGAGTCACAAATGGTGAAAAAGTGCTGCAAAGGGCTTAAAAGGACTGGATGTTCATTCCAAAGTGCTCTCTACAAAAGCCATGCATGGCAGGATTTTAACCAAGTGAAGTCTTTTGGAGTCCCTAAAAAATAAACCCAGTTAACTATCTTAGCGCAGCCACAGCCAATGAAAAGAAATTGTTGCAGTCTAAATTTCTGGACTAAGTTCTACAAGCTGTGTTTATTAATAAATGATTCTTTAAGTATTTCACTTCACCTTGCTGTGATGGATTTGTATTGTTAACTCTCTACTGATTGTCATAAAACTGTGTTTTGTTTTAGCATGTTATTCCTCAAACTCTCCTTGATCACTATATATCCATGACTGAACCAGCCAAAGCCCAAACTATTGACACAGAAATAGTACGGCACTGTGCTTTCAGTTTACCTGCAGTGACACTTACTCTGGGACGTAAAAACTGGCCATGCCTTAGAGACACATTTGAAATGCTTATTGCAGATATGCAGGTAGGATCAAAGAAAAATTCTGAGTAATTAGTATTAAATTCCACTTTAAATAGGTTGGTTTTTCTTCCTTGTTTTCAAGTCAGCAGTTAAAATTGAGGGGTGTTTTTTGCTTGGAATTCTTATCTTAATTCTTAATATGAAATTTGTGTTTTGCAGTGGAAAGTTCGAAGAACATTAGCATTCTCCATCCATGAGCTAGCCTTAGTTCTTGGAAGTGAAATCACTCGCATTGAGTTAGTTCCTACTTTTAACAGTTTTCTCAAGGATTTGGATGAGGTTAGAGATGTTGACAGAATTTTTTACCTCTATTTCCTTGTTGCTTTTCATCTGATGACTCATTTCATGTCACATGAGTTCCACCACATGTACAATGAAGTTTTTAATTCACAGACTTCTGTATAAATTAAATTCATTTTAAGATATGCCCCAAGTAATTATTTAATTGTTTTAATTTGCCAAGTACATTTTGAAATTCCATATCTGTGTAATTTTTGCATGTACAATGTACTTTTAAATTTGTCTGACTTCTGTAGAAATTAAATTCATTTTAAGATATGCTCCAAATAATTAAAAAATGGCTTTGATTTGCAAAATGCATTTTCTAAATTTGTTACTCCTATAATTTTTATAGGTGAGAATAGGTGTACTGAAACATTTAGCGGACTTCATCAAGGTAAGAGCACTCTGCATATGGTTAATTGGCTGTTTAACCCTTTACACCCTAACATCAGTATGCATATTTTCCTTACTGTTATCCATCCATTTCCAAAGAGACTGACAGGGAGAATTTGTTTAAAATTCAAGAGTTGCTTTAGTTGGCGATCATCTCCTCCATTCTCATGACTTTCATGTGTGATTCAGGGGTGATATAATAAAGAGAAATTAGATGCTAATCATTCTTAGGGGCTAATGGGTTAACAAGGTTTCTTATGTTTTTTGTTTGTTTTGTTTTGTATTGTTTTTGTTTTTGTTTTTGTTTTTTCTTATGAAAGAGACAATCCCCCTGCTCTTTCACTCTAAAGTTTTTTTTATCTCATTTCTCTGTACTGTCTGTCATACAGGTACAAACATTTTAGTGCAAGACTTTAGTCTTATATCAAACCATGCCCTTGTTGATATTTTTCTATCTTCTCATCACCTTGACTTCATGAAGTTATTGATGATGTGCAGAGAAATTCCTCTCTTGTCACTCCTGGGAGCCAAAGGGTTGAGTGCGTATACTGATAAGCTACCCAACAGGACTTCAAGACAACTTGTGTGGATCCTTGGGAGGTACTTATTTTGGTGCATTTAGTGTCTGAGTAAATTCTTATTTCTCTTTTATTGCAGCTTCTTCCATCTGATGTAAGTGGTGACTATCTTCCCATGCTCACAGACTTTCTCACAACAGATAATAACAGAAACTGGCGGTTTCGTTTTGAGCTTGCAGAGTAAGTTTTCACTTATTGAACATGTTATAACAATGGCAGAATTCCTAGTTTTTAAAGAAATTGCTTTACAGTATGGACATGTAAGCAAAATAGTGAGTTGAAAATCACCTCATGGATTGTCAAATAACAAACATGCTGACATGTATTTTCCATCAAGCTTCACTCAAGTTCAAATATGTGAACTGCTAGTGAGTGATCAAGTCTAGTTTAGCTCTGCATGGCAAGAGATTAGTAAGAAGACAAAAGAAAGAACTTGGATGGTTTAACAACAAAAACTGGGATTGGTATCATCAGAGTTTGTTGATGTTCTCAAATGGAGTGGTGTTGTAAACCTTGAACCCCTAACAGTGCTTAGCATCTTATTTCTCCTCACATTGTTACCCATGAATCAAACATTACGGTCACAGGAATGAAGGAAATGATCAGCTACCAAGGAAGTTTTAGATTGTTAAACAAATTCTTTTTGTCAGCACCTTAGAAAATGCAGAGAGAGCAGTATGGAGAATATGCATACTGATGTTTGGGTGTAAAGGGTTAACATGGTTTGATCTCCTTTCAGGCAACTCATGTCTCTATGTGAAATATATGAACCCAAACAAGTTCTGCAGTATATTTGTCCTATTGCCATCTCACTTGCCACAGACAGAGTGGCAGATGTCAGAACAATAGCGTTTAAACTGGTGAGTGTTATACATTCTGGTGTTTAATTTTCATTCAGATTTTAAATAGTGTTTAAGATAAAATGAGAGCAAAGGCGCTGGCTCAAAAAGGCAGACTAACCAGGGATTTGGCTGGGTACTGAGGAAAATGCATTTATACAAAATGCAATAGGAGTAAACTGCTCAACCCTGAAAGATTAGTTTTTTGGATGTGGAAAGTTGTGTCTAACATATGTGGTGGTTGTTGTTGATCGTAAAGCTGTTGTACTCTACTCTAATGCTAAATACATGTTGGTAATATTGATTTTGACCTGGTTGCCGTGTGAACTTTAATAAATATGTGGTGGTTGTTGTTGATTATAAAGCTGTTGTACTCTACTCTAATGCTAAATACATGTTGGTGATATTGATTTTGATGGCCTGTTTCAGATTGGCATTTTACTTCAAAGGCTGCATAGCTGCACTGAAGATGGTCCTGCTCATAAGTTTGTTTGTGACATCATCAATAAATTTGCCCACAGCCCACAATGGACCAGGAGACAAGCGTGAGTCTTTTAATGAACACTTCACATTGTTTGGATCAGTAGACTCTTCAAGCTGATTGCTACTGGAGGCTCAAATATTAGACACTCATTTTTCTGACCTATTGGGTCTTCCCAACAATGTGCCTGTGTACATTAAAACCATTAGTGCTTGTAGTACACAAGAAAAACACTAATAGAGCAGCCTTTGGTGTTAAATTTCTTGTTTTATCACCACAGCTGTAATTCTGTTTTGTATAAGGAGGTGATCAGTGATCTTCTCTTTTTCTCATTTTCATGATGTCTGATTGTACCTCAGAGCAAAAAGAAGAGAAAAATTAAATTCAATAGATAAGGAGTTTCTGGAGATATCTATTGGTAGGACTCATTTAAAATCTGACTATACATTGAGCATGTAGATTCAAAGGTTTTCAAGAAAGATTAATATTTCTTCTACATGCAATGAGCTGTCATTTGAATTTTTGGGCTTAACTGTCCTTTGCATACTTATGTGGTTAGTAGATGGAGAAAAAGTTCCAGACTTAACTTAATATATTGTCTTTATTTCACAGGTATGCACAACTCTGCCAAAATTTACTGGAAGAAAATGTTGAAACTGGGGAACAGTTCTCCCAAGAGTTTTTACCAAGCTTGTTGTATCTCCTGACTGATCCTGTACCTAACGTGAGACTCAGTTTAGCCAGGACTTTGTCACAGAGTGTTACAGTCTTAGGTATAGTGCATTTGTTGCAAGTAATTTTTATGCATAGCATGTCATCTGAAATTGTTTTAGAAGGACATGCATATTTTTATGATTACCTTTTTTTTTTGTGCTCAGTGAAAACAAATTTGTTCAGTTTGAGATGACTGAAATTTTTTGGAATTTTAGCAAATGCTGTATCAAGGAGATCCCATATTAAGTTGACACCCTACACCTTGCAGGCAATAGCCTAAGTTCATGCTTTCCCCCTCCATTTCATTCTAATATGAACCTTGGTCAAGTTGGATTTAATTTTGTATTTAGCATATAGGAACTGCAATGTTCACCATAAATTACATATTCTGGTAATATAATATTGTTATTCTGCCAACCAGAAACTTTGTAATTTCTGAAGTTACTGGTTATGTAGGGAAATAAACCTAACTGTGAAGGCACATACCTATTTATGGTGCTGTTTGCTAAAGTGTTGCGTTCTTTTGACAAGATTTTCTTTAGTTTGAGATATTTTACATTATAGAAGCCAAATATTGAAAATGAAGGGATGTTGCATTTTCAATATTTGTTAGTTGGTGGTAACAGCCTACTAATACTCTACTTATTTGATACATTTCACTCAATTTGATTGAAATTAATAAATTTGGAGGGTGATACCTGACTTTCAAAAGTACTGCCACCATTATGGCGCAGAAGATTACATTTTATATTGAAATTGTTTTATCCCTGGAACAGTGTGGTGTACAACAGTTGTGCACATGCATTCCTTTTTTAACAAGTTGTAACAGTCATCACTGTCATATGATTTTTTGCAATCTCTCAATTCTTTTCTGTGTGTGTTTTTTGAATTCTTTTTATTGTAGAGCTATTCAAAGAAAATGATGCAGAGGGCAAAGAGGCCATTCTTTCTGCTCTGCAGAGGCTTCAATATGATCCAGACAGGGATGTTAGGTACTTTGCTGGGGTGGAGGAAGATGCATTAGATCTTACATATGAGGGTCAAATGACAAGTTTGGACAGTGTTCAGGATGATTTACAAGAAGTTTCCTATGCCCTTGAAGAAGATTGCGAACTTGAAAATCTTATACCCAATGATGAAGGGGAAAGCAGAGCCAATGAAGTTGTTACCATAAATGAAGAAAATAAAACTGAAACTTTTAACAACACTGAACTGTTGGAGGACTTTCATCAGACAACGTTAGAAGAGTCGTCATCCTCTGCAACTGTATTTGGTACAAATTTGGAAAGTACAGCATTTGAATTTGAAGAAGACGAAAGGAGGTTAGATTTACAATCTCAAGATCTCACAAATACAGGCAACACATCTGAAGAACTTGATAAGGATGTGAAATGTGGTGAGGAAAGGGAACCACAGTGCTCTATTGAGGTACTAATCATCAAGGTTGTTAAAGCCAAGTGTCGTTGTTGACAATGTATAAATGTGTGTATTTAATTTTGTCTCATCCAGTGCTTTAAGTGGGTACTGGCAGGATACATTTTATACCATGAAATTTAAATTTTTTGTTAAATCCACATGATCCCCATAATCTACTTGTCTCTCAGCAGTGCAATTTATTTCTGTATTTTGCCAACTTTTTGCTTTAAATTGAAGCTAATGAGAAATTAACATTAAAAAAATCAGATTTTAAGGCTTTAAGGAAGTAACCAATCAAATTGCAGGACAAGAATAGTTAAAAAAGCAATTGTGTGGCAAATTTTGTCTTGTCCCTAAATTTTTTTTTAACCAAAAAAGTGGAGGAATTTACTTCCTTGTAGTATTTGAATAAGGACAATGAGGTATTTGTACTGAGTGATATGTTGTATTTGGGTGATTAAATTTTGCCATTTCAAAGCAATGTAATTAATTGTAAATAAAGTTTGTGCATCATGCTCTTTGATTTCGAAATCATGTTTATGATTTCAGAAAAAAAAATACATTCCACTTACTTCAATTACCATTAAAAATGACCACACCAAGAGGTAAACAATGTTTATCCTTAATTATTTCTGTGCCAAACTTAAGTTCTCTGTTCTTTGACTTGCAGGAGTTGATTGATTCATCAGATCCAACAGAAGAAGCAGAAGGCAAAGGGCTTTGACATAACACGAAAGATGGCAATTATACATTTTCTAAAATATTTTGCATAGCAATGAAAATTACACACACAAGTGTGTGTTTGAATTATCGGAAATCTTCCTGGTTGCTTTGTTTTAAGTGAACATGTAATTGAGCAACAAGCAAATGAGTGGTTTCCAAGGAGTTATTTTTAATATTAATCACTAGGGTAGGTGTTAATTTATGGAAATGAGTGCAGGTAATAAATAATTATGCAATGTTGATGAAAACTGCATTCGTGATGAATTCCTTAATGTATTGTACATACAATGGATTGAAATAGTCTTCTGGGTTAAGATTTTCAGTGAAGCCTGTTGATGTATCTCACAGAAGATTTTTCCAAATTTTTAGATATGTTGCTTTAGATGTTCTTCTTTTGTTGTTGTTTCTTACCATTCCAGGCTGAATGTATATTCTATGACTGAACTTAATAAATTCTTGTATCTTAAGCCAAGTTTATTTTACAGTTATCATGCAATTCATATTTCAGTAGCCAAAAAAAACTCCTGATTTGTGAAACATGTTCTCTTATTTCCAGGCTGACCAAGTTGTTTACATAGCTCTTTTAGGTAGATTGGAAAAAATGTTTTTAAGTCCATGTCAAATCCTATGAAAGCACACTGTTCTTTTTCAGAAATGAACCTAAGCAAAAAAAACAAAAAAAGAAAAGGAAATCTAGTAGCAGTTGTGTACAACTCCCCTAAGTGTCACATTGGATATTAAAAGAGGAAAGTTTAGATGTCCATTTTGTCAACTTAAAAGTCAGTTAAGGGGTAAAAATTATGAAATATCTTAACCTTTCAAAGTTTTGCTCATTGACATCAGAATTGCCTGTCCAAGGTACTCAATCTTTGCTAGCATTTCAGCCTCAGGAATTCAATATGGCTTGAGCTGGTCTTATCATATTTTGCTGCAAATTAGGAATTTTACCCTATTAAACAGTGCAATTTCTTTATTTTGTGTGGCCACTATAGAGTAAAATCCCTAAATCATGGAAGAAGCTTTGAAGTTTTCATTCATTGTTGTTTTTTTTACACACATGAGGAGGAATGTAAAATTCTGAAATCTGATCCTTACAACTTTTTTATAGCTGTACTCAGATGCTAATCAAGCCAGACCTAACAAGAAAAGTCAAGGGGTTGTTAATGAAACATTGACAAGCTTTCTTATCCTTAATTTTTATTATTCTGCATTAAACAACCTTTAATTAAGCCCTAAGAATGATTGGCATCAAGTTATGGCCATGAGAATTAAGGAACTGATCACCATGTAAAATTACCTGATCTTCACACACTCTCATTATTGTCATTGTGGGACTAGCTACGGAGACCATTAGGAAGTGTTGATATGATGAAAAAGGGGCTCCAAGGATGACAAGAACCGTTATGAATTTAACTGTAGCAAACTTGGGATTAGTGTTACAACGGTGGCAAACAACCAGGCCTTGTTTTTTAAAGGGTGGATAACGCCATCCACCAGATAAATTGTTATATTCTGGGTAGCGCAGTATGTTTTGGTAAGATTACTCTATGTGATAGTGATGTTTCTGTCGGATAGTGCTATCTGCCCTTTGAATAACTGGGCCTAGGTCAAATATTGATTGAAGTAATGACACACAAAAAAAACTGATGACTTGAATTTCTAGACAAGGCTAGTGGTGGTGGTGATATGATGTGGCTATGTTGTACTTTCTGGTCAATTTTGCATCTGGGGTAGCTCCTTTTCTAATGCAAGGTTTAGCAGTTGACATTTTTTTTACAATTAATGACCAAGTTTTTGCCCTTGAGATAAATAGTAATGTCATTTGATTGTGAGTCTTTTGTTGTTAGAGGACAGCTACAGCACTGAGTGGTCAGTGACTTTCAAAATCGAGAGCAGAATAATCTGTGTAAGGGTTGCTCTACAGGAACAGGAGTCCCAATCTGTCACTTGCACCTGGCTAGACTGAGTGTCCTACACAAGTTCATGCAGAAATTTCTATCCTCAGAAAGGAATTATAAGTTTATCTTGGAGTTCATTCATTGAGTTTTTATACCTGAGCACTGTATACCTAATTCATTTCCAATTTACATCCTAAAGTAGAGACTATAAAAGTTAAAACTTTAAGAATTTAATTTTTATAACGGCAGATTTAATACTTATGTTATTTTTGGACTGAATATTCGAACTGAAGAATTATTATAATAAACAAGAAATTCTCCAAGTATATAATTCTTACATAAATATTTCATGTTTACAGCATTATTGAAAGAAAACTTTCTTTTTGGTATTGGGACAACCAATTTAATTACAATATGGCCAAGTTATGTTAGATTGATTTGGTTGCTGAATGAAGTTATATTGTTTAGACTGTTTATATTGAGTATGTGTAACTGATTAAAATGAGAAACCAGTTTTATAGTTTTCAATAATTGTTCTATTGATCAGCTCTCTCCCCTAACAGTTCTTTTTCTCACAACTCCTGTGTAACAGACAATTGGACTAGGCAACCAAAGGTTTTGTAAACTTCACGACGCAAATCATAGTGACAACCTGTGGATTATCTCTTTCAATCTTTGAAACTCTTAGAGTGACCAACATTTAGTTTCTTCTCACTACATTTCTGTTGAATAATTCAGTGAGATAATGAGAATATAGGAATGACTGCCAACCTAAGAAGCTTTGATTGTTAAACAAATTCTCATCATCAGTACCAAATAAAATCTGTAGAGAGGAGTGTGGAGGAAATAGATACTGATGTTAGTGCATGAAGGGTTAATTAAAGGATCAGAGTTGAAGGAAGACCCAGGATGGTTAAGGAAAATTGTTTCTTTAGAGAGCACAAATGTCTCACATGTTGTATGCAAGCCCAATTATCAGGTGTTCAAGAAATTGTCAGAAAATGCTTTGCAAATTGCTCTGTATATTGTGTGTAGAAAAGAAATTAAAAAGATGTGGTTATCTGAGTTTTTGTCTTTTGTCAACTTGATGTCCGAGTTTTAGAAGGCCATTTCAGAGCTACTCACAATCACCTTACATGTAACCTTCATTAACAGCAGGATCTCACATAGATTGTGTTTTTTATAGCTTAATAGAAACCTGCTATGTCAAGAAACGTCTAGCAGCCACATCCATAAAATTTCTCTTCAGAGCAATGGCTTAGTAGGAACTTGCTACGTTAGGAAACGTCTAGCAGCCATATCCATAAAATTTCTTTTCACAGCAATTTTTGAAGGATTTACATACAGTCTCCTTGGACCGAAATTGAGGTTCGCCCTGTTTGTGGCTACTTGTGAAAGCAGAAGACTTTCTACAGTGGAAGAAGATACAGATAATCTAATAGGGCAAATAAATTCGCCACTGTAACTTGTAGCTCAAATTGACATAGTTTAGTCTGATATCGATGCCAGAAGATATAGAACCTCCTTCGTTACTGTATTGTTTGGATTGAGTATTGTGACACAAACTTGTTGCAGTACCAAATAGATACGTTATTCTTATTTTTGGTGGCATCTAAAGAAATCCCAGCAACTGACAAGAAGGCACACACTGCCACCTGACAATGAATAGTGTCACAATTTGACTGTTCCTCAAGAAGTAGGAAAGATTTTCGTGTAATCCCATAGTGCTACTGAAACGAAGCCGTGATACCAAAGGCAAAATGCGATTTATTATTTTCGCCACAGTTTTCTTCATCAATAAAACGTGTGCTTATTAAAAGATCATGAAAGCATGGAGATGTATGGAAATCTTCCTAGATACACCCTATTTTGCTAATCAATCAAGAAAATTATTTATCTTTCTTCGTAGCAGCATCCACTCAATAGAAATCTGTTCATTTATGACTGGGGAAATAAATTGTAGTCTTGATATGCCAAGGGAAAGTAAACGACCAAGCCGTTTAAAGCACTTCGTCTCAATGGCTTTGATAAGTTAACTGTTAGCTTTCCAAGCAAATATATAAGGTCTAGTGAGTGGCTTTTCCTCCTTTTTCGGTCTTCTTTGGCAACAGCACCGCTTGAATGTTCGGTAACACACCTCCCTGGGCGATGGTGACACCGGCGAGCAACTTGTTCAGTTCTTCGTCGTTGCGTACAGCAAGCTGAAGATGGCGTGGGATTATTCTAGACTTCTTGTTATCTCTAGCTGCATTTCCGGCGAGTTCCAGTATTTCAGCTGAAAGGTATTCCAAAACAGCGGCCATGTAAACTGGGGCACCTGCGCCAACACGTTCAGCGTAATTTCCCTTCCTCAACAAACGATGAATTCTGCCGACTGGAAACTGTAAACCCGCTCGGGAAGAACGTGATTTCGATTTAGTACCCTTTGCTTTACCTTTCCCTCGTCCAGACATTATTTACCGTATATCTTTTCTATTGGAAATAAAGAACACTTGATATATAAGGAGATATCATCAGGTAATGGAGCAAATCAAGTACAAGAATGTTTACATTCTATTTAACGAATCGAAAGTTCTATTGTTCGTCCAATCACATCGCGAGAAGTATAAACGGAAGTCTAAGGAACCATTGGTGTATTTCCTGTTTCCTTAGCCCAAAAAAACAAAAACATTTTTATCTCTGTACGATTTCAAGAGTCTTTCCTGTGTAAGAAAGAAGAAAAAAATCGGAAAAATGTCACAAAAAAAAATTACTAAACGTTGTCATATTGCTGATGAAGGCTAGAATGAAATTAAGCTAACACCATAACAAAGCGACCTATATATAGTAAGCCGGCCGAGATTCTAAACGGAAATGTGTTCAGGAGAGGATTTCATAAAACTCCATACATAAGCCAAATAAATCCGGCCAGAGTTTTCTTTTTACAAGGCACGTAGTCTTCTTCAGCATAACGTTTCAGTAACCGATCGCCAAATTTCATTCATCCAATTATTCGTAACTCACAAAGGCTTAAAAAAACGGTGAAATGATCTTATTTTCCTGATTAAATTATTTTTTTTAGGCCGCGCTAAATTCGAGGATTATTTGATAAACGACCTCGAACATTTGACCTTTATTGTAAACGACATTTTTACTTTTTTTCATTTTTTTTCGTGGAAAGCAAATCGTTCAGCCGGAGTAGGAATCGTTAAAAGACACTGACGATACTTGAGGTCAAAGAAAGTTATATGCGAAACCAGGATTGAAACCTGCTGAATCACACTTTGGTCGAACCTCCTTTGAAAACCACGGTGTCGAACTGTCAGTCAGAAAAATAGAGAAAATAAATTTTGTACCTGCTTTCGAATTTCAGGTACGGTTTTATCTTTTATGCTGGTGGGAAATTCTTTGAATTTAGGGTTTATTGGGGTGACCTTCAATGCTAATTCAGCCGACTAATTCAGTTACAGCTTTATCTTTCAACAGAACATACACATACATAACATTCATTTATCAGGAAAGTTTTTCCACGCGAGTGAAACGTGCCTCGACATAAAGCTGTCGCAGTTTCGTGGCCTGGAGACGTGGCAAGAACTTTCGCCTCGCGTCTTCAGTGATGAAAACTTTTTGTTCTCCCTGAGCCAATAGGAACTAGGAGGTAGAAGTCTTATCCAATCAGGAATAAATAATTAATGAGAGCTATCAGCCGTTTTTTTCATTGACGGCTCCTTTAAAACAATACATCCACCGTCCAATGATATTTCCCGCTCAATGGTAGCTTTGCACCTGTTGAGGAGCTGTCAATTCGCATAAAGAACAAGTTGCCACTGTGAATTTTCGATCGTTTTGGTAATTTACCTGGGCTGAGCCCATAACAACAGGACAGGGAGAAAGGTTGAAAATGTCGAAGAGAAAACTGGAAGAAGAAGATTCATTGAGTACAGCTAGTTCTGATAGCGCCGACAGTTTGGGAAATGTTGAGGAATATCAGAGTGCGAAACGGAATCGACGTGTCCGTTTCAGCGAGAGAACAGTATTCCACTTTCCTCGTACACAAGGTTATACGTGTGTGCCTTCGAATGGTGGAACAACGCTTGGGATGAAACATAAACACAGCTTTGTCGAAAGAACTTTAATATCCGAAGAAGATCAGAGCGAAAGCGATACGGAAGATTCATATGATAGCGTGGACAGCGACGATGAACACTGTTTTATGCCAATTCCACAAAAGGATCGCAAAGACATTTTGAAAGCGGCCGGCGTAAAGAAAATCAACAAACAAGAGGCTATTGAGTGTATGCAAATTAGATATTCTCGGCAGCTTTGTGGATGTTCGTGTAAAGACTTCTGTGAGCCTGACTCATGTAGCTGTCGTTTAAACGGAATAAATTGTCAAGTCGATCGAGATAGTTTTCCGTGTGGCTGTAGCCGTGAAGGATGCCAGAACCCTCACGGACGTCATGAGTATGACCCGATTACGGTACGCCGTCATTTTATTGAAACAGTTTGGAAACTTCGAGGAGAGAAATATCTCTGGCGTGAATCGACACCCGATCAAGAACGAGATTCGAATGATTTGCAAGCTTCAAGACAAGTAATGGGTTTTACTTCCGTTTCATAGCTCAAAACATACGTTATCTTTACGTCGTTTGTGTTGTACACTGTACATCAAAAGGATAAGAAAAAAAGCGAAAGGTTTCTAACGAACATTAAATATCGGAGCCATGACTCCGAGAGTGTGATTTATTGAAATTTGAAATGTGTAATATCTTTAAGGGGGTGCGAAATCTGCACGAAATAAAATTATATTTTGTATGAGAAGATCGAGACTCTTCGTTAAAATTCTCCATTGTGTTGTAGTGTGGCAGCTAGCTAAATGCCCATATCGCAACAAGAAGACCGGTAATGTGTCAGCCTTTGATTACTAAAGTGTCATCTTTTGCAGTTTTAAGCTAAAGACGGAAAGTTAATTAAAGATATTTTCCATTTGAGAATCTGCCGACTCGCAGGAAATATTGATATGCCGTGAATGCCAGAGTCTATTTAAGAACTAGTGTGAAAATCGATTCAATATTTAAAATGACATGTTCGCTATTTTTTATTAAGTTATATTACCATTGTTTCTTTTGCTTTTGATTTTTTTTTTCGCGGGACATCGATATTTAAAACATGAAAGGATTCAGCGATTTACAATTTACAACAAATATGGAGCATGAAATTTTGCGGGAGTTAATTTAGTGAATTGGCGGTGTGAATGTCAGCATTTGTGTGTTTTACGAGAACAAATTCTTACCGATTGAAATCTTAGAAATTTTGCATGGAAACAATTTTTTCCGATTTCCCGGTTCTTGCAGCAAAACATCGGCAAGGAAAAAAATAAAACTTTTCAAATATGTAACTTTTGAACCTCAAGTTATACAGAGAGGAGCTATGCAACGTAAATGATTCGCAGAAGGATTTTCGAGTGATTTCTAATACAAAGTACCCGTTTTGACGCTTGGTTCATAAACGGAGTTTCCATTCATTCATTCATTCTTTGTCTTTTCTCTCAATTTTTGCGGGTCGAAACTTTTCTCAAAATCCTCAAATCTTAAAATTCGAGAGATTTTTTCGCTGCACGATATTTTACGAGGACCCCTTTAAAATAGTCATCCATTCACGGCTCATAGACACATCAACACATCAAAGCCGTTAGTTCAGTGGCTGACTTTATTTACTATTACTCTTAATTTGCAATGTTTTTTTTTCTCGTTATTTTTTGTGCATAACACTGCTATTCCTCCAAGATGTAGGGAAATTAGTTAATATCTTAATGATATTTCACAAGGCTCCGGTTGGCTCAAGAAACCATAAAAAGGTCTTTTACATTGAAGGGCAAATTGTAAGTCAAACAGTCCTGGCAAAGTTGGTTTCGAAAAGAACAGCGCTTATGTGCAAGCCTCGATCACGAGTTGTGTTGGTTAACATAAAGAGAGAGCAGCTTAACCTGTCATTGGCCCTCCGTCAATGGAGGCCAGCAAAATAGCGGGCTAACGACATACAGCGAGTGCAGTTGTCAAGGAAACAGCTGGGTGATTTTTCGCTCTACCTTCCATCCCCGGTAGAATTCAACCGAGTTGTCCAGTCTCTTTCAGGATCCCAGTCCATCCTCCACCAGCTATTGTTTGGTCACAAAGTACATCAAGAGCAGATCTTTTTTCAGGTTTAATGGTGTAAACACCGCCTATTGTTTTACCAGCTTTGTAAAGGTTCCAAATGTTTAGCGATCTACCCGAACAAGACAATCAATCAAAGTGTATCTCTTTTTACAAGGGCATCACTTCAAGTTCATTAATTAAAAGTCATACATTTCTAATTAACATCTCTACTTACTCATGCAGATGTAAGAGCTGACAGTGTTGATACCGAGTAAGCGCCGGCGTTCTCGTCACAGTCGTCAGTACCGGCGGTGCACTCATCGATATCTAGAAAAAAAAAAGGTGGTTAGCTCTGTTTGAAGTGATGTAACTCGAAATTGGACTGCATACATTAATGGCTACAAACAGAGAGAATAGAAACACAAAAGAAAATGAAGATACGATGAACAAGCAAATCAGTCAAGTGTTTGGACAAAAACCTTCCATTCCCATGTCGCAATAAACCAACACGGCCTTCTCAGATCCACCTAGATCCAACCAGTATTGTTTGCTGATGACGGCTTTGCTTTCACTCGCTATTATTTCCTGACACGACACAGCAGGCAGTTCTGGAATAGATCCCAGAGAAGCTGTGATAGAAATGAGAGAAAATGTTACAAGCCTTAGCTATTAATTTTTCTAGTTAAACAGAACTGTGATAGCAGATTTCACTTAAAGCACATTACGTACCTCTGCCAAAAATACCTACTTGGTAAAACCGAGAGTCTGCGAGGAAATTCACAGGGTTTGCCTCTTTGGTTCGGTTATTCAGTTCACAAAACTTTTCTCCGATTACGTAATTATAACTCTGGCACCTGGTCTTTCGTTCACAGCAGATGTCACACTCATGTGAACTTCTTGATGAAAAATCCCTGCAGAGCCATTCCACCTATACTCGTTTCTTGTCTGCATTGTGCGTCAGCAGATACCGCGATGGCCATCAAGAGGCCAACGAGGGACAGAGAACCAACACATCGTCCACCACATGTCATCACTTAACTGAAAAACATCCATGACATAAAACAAACGAAAAAACTAAACAATCTCTTCAATTTTCCGTAATGTAGCTTATTCCATGGGCTAAAGTTTAAAATGGGGCTCTCCTAGTTTTATAAAAGTTACTTTGTTAAACTTCAATGCGAATGGACGAAAATTCACAGGGTTTGCCTCTTTGGTTCGGTTATTCAGTTCACAAAACTTTTCTCCGATTACGTAATTATAACTCTGGCACCTGGTATTTCGTTCACAGCAGATGTCACACTCATGTGAACTTCTTGATGAAAAATCCCTGCAGAGCCATTCCACCTATACTCGTTTCTTGTCTGCATTGTGCGTCAGCAGATACCGCGATGGCCATCAAGAGGCCAACGAGGGACAGAGAACCAACACACCGTCCACCACATGTCATCACTTAACTGAAAAACATCCATGACATAAAACAAACGAAAAAACTAAACAATCTCTTCAATTTTCCGTGATGTAGCTTATTCCATGGGCTAAAGTTTAAAATGGGGCTCTCTTAGTTTTATAAAAGTTACTTTGTTAAACTTCAATGCGAATGGACGAAAGATAATCGAGCAGCGGAAGATTAAGACGAAAATTGTTAGCGAGTCGAACTCGTCAACAAAGCTGTAAATAATTAATGTAAGTAAGTAACAGAGGAAAAAAGAAACACAGTAAGAAAAGAATTCCTTTTATAATAGAAAAGAAACCGATGATTCCCTCCAATAGTTGTTTACAAGAGAATTTCAACTCTTGCTTTTTACCTGTGTTTAAACAAGAAATTTCATGTTAAGCTGATCCCTCTTAAACTTTTCAGTGATTATTAACTATGAGCTAATATTTACCTCAACGGTGGCATTTTTCCAGCTTGAGTAGCTGAATTATACTACTGAAGTATTTTTCCCATTACTCAGCTGTAAAATTGCAAAAAAAAAAAACGTAGAACCCTGAGATGCGCGGCAATAACAAGAGGATAATCGCACGTAGGTTTTTTATCATCGAAACACTGAGCTAATCAATGTTATACGTATTCTGGTAGCCAATTAAAGGTCGATGTAAAAAAAATGTTACGAAACAAAATTGTTATAACAAACTGAGGTAAGAAATTGCTTCGTGACCTACTGATAAACATTGCTGAGAAAAGTTTCACTGCTTTGAGAAGTAGTTAAGAACAATTCTCAGTATAGATCGACTTCATTTACTCTCCATAACAGGAGACACCGAAAACTCACTCATTTTTTTTTTTTGGCTCATCGTGGTCGTTTAATGTGGAGAAAAGTGTGTCTGTTTTTCTCCGTTGGCCTCTTGATGGCCATCGTATCCGCAGATGGACAATGCAGAAAGGAAACGAGTATAAGCGGAATGGCTCTGGAAGGATTCGTCTTCAAGAAGTTCTCAGTAACAGCCATCCACGAGTGTGACATCAGCTGTGAGAGAGAAATCAGATGCCAGAGTTACAATTACGTAATCGGAGAAAAGCACTGTGAACTGAATAACCGGACCGAAGAGGCAAGGCCTGAGAATTTCCAACCAGACCCTGCTCGGTTTTACCGCGTACGTTTAGTCGACAGAGGTATGCATTAGATATCATAGCTATTCTCGGTAGAGTCTGGTTGTGTGCAGTCGAAGTTATAGTAAGCAAGAGAAGCTATGGTTAATTAATGCTTGTACTGTTTTATCTACTTTATATAACAGCTCCTTTGGGATCCAGGCCAGAAGTGTCTGCAGTGTCATGTCGGGAAATAAAAGCGAGTGAAGGAAAAAATGTTATTAGCAAGAAATATTGGTTGGATTTAAATGGATCTGGACAGGCAGTTTTGGTTTATTGCGACATGGAAATTGAAGGTTTTCATTCACAACTGGATTACTCGTTACTCTTTAATTTGAAACATGTTTTTTTGTGATCTGTGTTTTTATTTTATGAGGTTTCGTTCCTTATCATCTGGGCTTGTTCCTTGAAAAACCCATTCACTTAACGTGCCCTAATAGCTGATTTTCCTTCATCGTTATTTATCCAGCATCGAGAAACAAAAATTCAAACAATTTAAGATATAAGGAGAGGAAACAGGATAAATTAAATCTCGCGCTTTTTTTCCTTAAAATTGTTAGAAATTAAAACAGGGATTTTAAAATGTCACGACAGTGAACTTCCAGAAAACGGTGAGTTAAAAATATAAACGTGGCTGAATTACTGTAGAAGTTTCCCGGCCGCTCTAAGAGCGCATAGAACATGGTGATTTCAAGTCTTTGTTTTTCACAGAAACGCTGAGAAATGACAAAGTTTTGAAAGAAATGGTACAGAGTTTTAAAAGCACGTGCTGAGCTATTGTTGGGTTCAATAGGAAGACTCCTCAATGTTTTTCCTCAACGTTGGCGCGCGCGCCAGCGTAATGTTTTTCCAGAAAATTTTAATGTTTTGCTTTTCAAGGTCACTATACGCTATCAAAAGGCGATGAGCAAGGTTCAGACTATCGTTTGTTGTAGTAAATATTAACAAAATGATTTTCGTTATCAAGGCTCCACAAAGGGAGGCGCTCGCCAGTGATAATTTGGCTTTACCTTCGATTTTCTTCAATTTACTGCGGTGAAATCTCTCAAAATTTTCACAGTTTGTGAAATTTGTCTTGCCGATCATTTAAAAGCTGAAAAAAAAATTGGGGTTACAAAGGAAGTTTCATCGCTATTTGCAATTTTGTGTTTTCTTCCTCCATCTCAAATTTGGTCTTATGAATTTTTTTTATCCACAGGGACTAGGAAGGGCGCGAATATGTTTAACGGTCTAGCAAATCTTTGGAAATTCCAACGATGGAAACGCGATCAATCTTGCTCGAAAGATCCCTATTTTCTTTGTTGCAAAACATTACGTAATGGACTAAGACTTCGCCAAGATCTATATCTGAGCATGCGTAAACTTTCGAAGCTGTCGCCTATTAGCAATCTTTCCCACGGTGTTTTCTTTTCAGTTGACCTCTTTTTCAGGCGTAGAAGGCCTATGAATATTACGGGTGCAGTTGCCGGAAACCCTAGATTCCGTTACAGAAAAACTGCATTGAGTTAAAGTGTTTCTAGCACATCTTTGCAGATAATAATCGTCCGATCTTATCGAGCCCCCATGTTTTTTTTGCATGTTGACACTTTTAAAGCTTGCGCTATGTTCGCGCCCAGATCTTGGGCAGTCAAAAAATCCAATAGAGCCTATTTAAATCTTTTGTTTCGCTAATTTCTTGTTGCCATGTCCGTCGTATCTTTCTTTAACTAGAACCACTACTTGGAACTTACGGGGCCCAGTGGGACATGGGATTGCATAAATATAGTTAATCTCTCGCACCGCTCCCCCCTCTTCTGTGAAGGCTAATACTGACGTAATTCACAATCAGAGACAAAAAACTCTTAAAGTCGCTTCAGTGTTATTATTCCTCCATATTTTAAGTACCAAACTAGTGCATCGTAAAGGTTGGGGAATGTGTCGTTCCCCAAAAAGCTATAATCTTTCTCTTGACTGTTCTCCATGCCTAGTGCTTTTCAAAATGGCGGATAAGATTTCAATGAGCCAGCGAGCACTCCCAAAAGTAACGAGCCAGTGATATATCTCAAGTCAGCGATATATCCCTAACAATGTAACGTTGAAAAAACGACAGAAACCGTCTGCATTTTATGACCGGTGCCAGCCTTCGGCTGGACCCCGGTTAATAGCCCCTACCGCAACACTGGACATTTTCAGTCATCGAACATTCGAGAAATAGGCTTCTGATCGTCGATTAGTAGACCTCTCACCGGCTTCCTTTGTTGAAAGCTTCAAACTTTGTAGCGGACAAAAAAATTAGCGCGTGTGCCGCGGAGGTGTTGAGATTTTAGGGGTATCATCTTATTAAGAAGGAAAGCTGATAAAAGCTGCTAGATGTAAAAAGTAAATCCGTCTTCGTGGCTATTGTTAAAATTCCTCTCCGTGGGTCAGCTTAATTCAGTTTAAACTGTACAGCCTTAACTTTATGCCGTATTTTCTTTTTGTTGTTGTCATATTCTGTAGAAAAAGCCGTCGATCTTGCTTTTGTAATCGGTGCGTCTGGAGCTCAAGCTTCTTCAGTCTTTGCAAGAATGGTAACCATCTTGAAGAACTTTGTCGATGAATATGCAGTATCTGAGGACAAAACTCGTGTTGCTCTGGTGGACTACAATGGTCCTGCGATTGCCAAGGTCTTCTTCAATGATGACTACAACAAAGCCAACTTTACGAGTTTCGTAGGCGGCATACCTGGCCCTGGGGGCCAACCAGGCACACTAAGCGCTGCTTTTACAAAAGTACGAGATGAAGTTTTCACAACTCAAAAAGGCGAGCGGCCATTTGCGGAGAATATTCTTGTTGTGCTGACCCAGGAAAACTTTGATGAGAATTCTTCTGAGATCAGGACCGAGATCACCAATTTTAGAAGCAATGCAGTGAAGATCATTGTATTTGGCATTACGGAGGAGGTGGGCATAGACAAGTGGAAGAAGATCTCCTCGGGGATCAACCTCATAGTTACACCCGAGCCAAGTAAAGACATAGAGGAGGCAAAGAAACTGCCACATGCTGCGAGTAAAGGTGGGTCAGTCTGTTTTTAAAAGAGTCCGTTTTAGTCTCAAAGAAACAAAACGAGGCGGGATATTTTTGCCAACATCAGCGGTTTTCGTTTTAATCCCATCTGTCCACTCGTCTGCGTCTTCATCCGAAATGCATACGATTCGGTGCGTTTTTTACCCGTTTTTCATATTAAAACGCTCGCCAACTCGGATGGAAGCGACTGTATGGGACACTTTCTCGACATTGTTTTCTTTTAGCTGTTTTTCGTTTGAGTTGATTTTAGGATTGCAGTATACGTGGCAACCTAAGCAATTTTGAATTTGATTTTGATATCAATTCTAAACAGAGTTTCGCAGCTGCGCAGAGGTGAAAACATTCGGGTACTTTTCTGACGGCCATTACCTCCTTCACGTAAGCGACGGCTGTAAAGACCCAACTAGAATTTACTGTCATAATATGGCATATAACACGCCGCAAGAGTTCATCACCCTGGAGTCTGGTACTGAGAACAACTTTGCTATTGTGTATGCCCAGAGGCTCCAATATCCTAGTGGCGGCTGCAGTGGGGCTGTGCAATCAACTCTGTACAAAGATCGAGGCACTACTTACTTCAGCAAAGTGCGCCTTGATATAACAACCATGAAAATTCTAAGCAATGTTTTCACATTTGCGCAGACGCAGGAGGGTAAAGACATCTCATATGGCAAAGCTGGGGATTGTTATTCGTCTTCTAACTCCAGTGACTGCCGTAAGGGTCAGTTTAAGGTTGATTTGAGAGGGACGAGACTTCACGTTCGGGACGATGTGACCTGGAAAGTTTTGGTATACCCGACTAGTTTGACGATGCAGGACTACCAGAAGTCGCGTGATGGTGCAGTGGTGTTTGCCAAGTGTGGAGGTTGGTGTGGTACATGTGAGCCGTCAGGGGGATTTATCATACTGGAGCCTCTGTGTTCCATTCCTGCTGGTAGGTATAAATCATGTTTGTCTTAGTTACCCCTGGAATAGCTTTCATAACACAACTGGCCATGAAATTAATAAAAAGATTTCATGTTGCGGTGGGTCCGTTCAGTAACAGATCACAGATGACGTCAAAATGTGGTAGGAATAAAAACGTTGTACTCGAGGTGTGGTCTGTGATCTCTTACTGTACTGACCCACGGCGATGGTCACGTCGTCTATGCGTCTGTCCTCCAACAGACGACGAAATGCGAGTAGGATTCAGTTTATCGTATAAATTTCAATTTAACAAATAGATTCCAAGTTGCCGTGCGTCTGTTCAGTAATAGATCACAGATGACGTCAAAATGTGGTAGGAACAAAAAAGTGGCACACGAGGCGCAGCCGAGTGTGTCACTGATGTTCCTACCACATTTTGATGTCCTCTGTGATCTATTACTGAACAGACGCACGGCAACTTGGAATCTATTTGTTTTATATAATAAAGAATTAAAAAAGTTTTAATGATGACGTCATCTATAAGTCTATCCTCCAATAGATCATAAGTGAGAACCAATCAAAACGCGTGCATAACTGAGTTTATTATATAAATTGTTATAACTTCCTTGTTCCACGAACTGACACTTCCCCCCCGGCAATTTGGGGGAAACACGAGGCTCCTAAGCAATGGAAGAGCGTCTAATCTCTTCATAAAGCCCCTGAAGTAACCAGGGGGCTGCTCATTTCAAAGTAATCAGGCTGCTTTTCTTCGAAACAAACTTTTAAGTTTGTTCAAAACTCTTTACTTGCCGCCCTGTCTGCCTCTTTGTTTGTCTGCTTGTCTGTCTATCTGTTCGTCGGTCTCTGTCTGTCTGTTTGTCTGTCTGTCTGTCTGTCTGTCTGTCTGTCTGTCTGTCTGTCTGTCTGTCTGTCTGTTTGGGTAGTTTAGTATTATCAACTGAGTTGATAACATAAATTGGCCAGCGTAAAGGGTTTCAAAGTTGACGTTTCGAGCGTTGGCCCTTTGTCAGAGCGATTGGACGAAGGGCTAACGCTCGAAACGTCAGCCTTTTAACTTTTTGCGATGGCGAATTTACGATATCAACTCAGTTGATGATACCACATTACTCTGGTATACACACAGTTTCTTTAGAAACTTACCCCCTTTATTCATTTATCTGTGTGATTGTCTATCGGTCTGTTTGTCTGTCTATTTGAATGCCTTTCGGAGGCCAATTTACACTATCAACTCAGCAGGTAAAACCAAGTAAAATTATTCTTACATGTCTGCCTTCTTGCAGTTTTGTTTGCCTGCAATTCTGTGTCAGGAATCCAATATTTAAATGCCAGTGGGTGTAAATATCTAAAATTGTAATTTGCTGAGATAAAGTGAAAGTCTTAATATAACTTATCACTACACAGGTTCCTTACTGGCTGTGAATGAAGACTGATGCCTTCAGGTGCGCGATTCTGGAACTGACAGAATTAGTAACTGCATTTCAACAGGGTCGGAAAGGCCATCTAATTGATCCTCACCAGAAAAAAAAAGTAGTTCACTTATAATGACCAGGACTGAAGGAGGTCACTCTACCGATAGGGATTACTTTAAACTACAGTTTCACGCTCATAACCTAGAACTTGGTTTTATTTCTACTACCATGGTATGTAAACACAAGTGTCCACGTAATAGTCTTTAAATTTATATTTAGAACAAAGACAGATGAGAATACTATTCCAAACCCCTACACCCAGTCTTGAAAAAGAAGTTTTCATTGCATTCTCTGTTCTCGCATGTTTAAGATAAAGATTACTAGTCACTGAGGACCTTGTAGAATAGTGGTGTTTTCCTGGAGAATAACTAAATATTTCTTAAATGTAAGTAGGTGTTAGATCGTTGACGAAATTATGCATTAAAGAACAGATTGTTTTAAAATAGATAAGATGAAGAGGAAGAATGTTTGACAAGTTGAACAAAGGTACCGCATGAGATCTAAAGGGTTTGAAAAACATCGCGCGGAGAGCACGTTTTTACGAAACCAAAACCATCTCCAAATTTGTTTGGGCAGCTCGGCCTCAGACTCACGCGGCAACCCCATAAGACAAGTGAGATTGAATAAGAGATTGATATATGTTAAGCAATACAGTTTGTAGGACAAAACGTCTCAATCTTGATAATATGCGTAAAGACTTGCTAATTTTCGATGAAATAAATGCAATGTGTTGATTCCAGGATAATTTGAATCGATAAGGACACCAAGGTATTTTACGTATTCTCTCCGTTCCAGAGAGACAATAGAATTGGTGCTTTAGTCAAAGACATTTATGTTCACTTCATAATCAACACGTTTTTGATACGGTCTAAACAAAACAAAAAGTGAGATTTTTTTACTTTAAGAGATAACGTATTTACCATCAGCCATTTTCTCACATTCTTCACTCCTCGTGAATGGTTACTTCGAGGGATCTGAAACTCTTATCAGCATAAAGCAAGTGGGTGTGTTTTCAGCAAGTAAGAAAGAGATGTCATTCATGTACAGCAAGAACAGTAAAGGTCCTAAGCCGGACTGATCCTTGTGGCACACAATAGAGCAACACTCTATCTAAGATACGTAGGTGCCGACTTGAATAGTTTGAAGTCGATCATTTAGATAAAAGGAAAACCAGATATTTACTACTCCACGGATTCCGTAACGTGCGAGTTTTTGCAATAAGATTGACTATGTCTAATGCGTTCTTGAGATCAATAAAAATGCTACACGAGAATAACCTCCATCAATATTGCGCTGGATTCCGTTGACAATGTCAATGAGTGCATGCTGTGTGAAGCATTTTTCCCGAAACCATGCTGATGATGGTACAATGTATGGTGTTTATCCAGAAAAGATTTTGAGCGGTTATACATAAGTTTCCCAAAGATACGATTAAATATTGACAAGAGGGAGATTGGCCTGTAGTTGCTCGGGTCCAATTCATCAATGTCTACACATTGTGACTGAAAAGAATGATGGAAAATTTCCACTGGTCAGTAAGTTCGAAATGTAAGTACAGAAAGCCTAAAAAATAGGAAAATGTCGAAATTTTGCAGTTTTTCAGTCAAGTCTTCTCTGGTGACCAAATTTTCACAGGATGAAAACTTGGTCACGGAATGACTCAAAGGAACCAATGAAAATGTAAGGCCCCATTAGGGAGGGCGGGTATCCCGTATCCTCAGTTTGACTTTTTGGCCTAAATATCTTGTATCCCGTCAATATTCCCGTGGTTTGTATCTCGAGTATCCATATCCCGATGATTTTTTATTCAGATATTTAGATTCCGGACAACCCTTATTAAGGCCAGCTTATACGTATATTACATCTGTCTTGTTGATCATTCAAATTCAAACATTTATGTGGCAATCGGAGGCTGGTTTAAGAACGAATACGAACGAGAAAAAAATCAAACCAAAAAGGCTATGCTGGAACAGTTGGAAGGAAATCGTTCATACGTTGTTAGCGATATTAAACATGAAAGGCTTATTTGGCACTGATCGAGATTACGTCGTTGTTCTAAGTCAATAGTGAATAATAGCTAAGCTGTTAGCCGAAGGTTATTTGAGGAAAAGAGACATAGTTGTCCAGAAGTCCGCCAGTCTCATTTTCATCTCAGTCCTTCTTAAGGAGTTATTACTTCTCCAGCGATACCATATCACTCCGTCGAATTATGAGCGCTTTCCATGATAATAGAAGCCATTCAAGCCAGAGGAGTAACAGGCACCATACCACAAGGCTCCTTGATTGTTAATGGCGCAGTTTCTGTCCCCGCTATGCTCATCATTATCTTGATCTTGAGTAGTCCATGGCCAGCTCAGCATTTCCTAACAAAATGGCACATGAAATGAATAATTATTTATGATATTATGAGCAATAGGCGATAAAAACAGAACAATGCAGTATGCGTCATGAAATCTTGTGATAAAGAAAGGTTGGCTCCTACTTACAATTAAGATCTTTAAAATTTTAAAAATTCAAACCCACAAAGATACTGAGCTAAAATCAACTGCCACCAGAACCAGTAAACAAAATTAAATCCTGAAATATCTGAACTGAACAATTAACCCTAAAAAATCAAATGTAAGTACACTCCTTTTTATTTTTCAAGTGGAGGTTACTTGATTGCATCAGCCGTCCCGTCATTCTTTACGTACGCATAACCAAGTCGATGTCAGAGAGATGGAAATGATAAGATTCATTCATAGAGCTATAAAAGCAAACACTGGCAGGCTAAGCAAGCTTAGATTGATCTCGTGGACATGCACGACGGTATCGGTGTAAAACTTGTTTCGTTTTTGGGTAAATGATGCTGCGAAGAGCGAAGGAGTAAGGAATCTTTCACAATATTCACACTGCCCCCATTAATTACGAAACTTAGGGATTTACCTGAATAAGAATCAAAGATCAGCTCGTACTTGTTATTCTCACTCATGACACCAAACACGTTATACTCAGCAAAGGCAGTATTTATCTGAGGTCAGACGGTAGATCATGTCCAGTCTCAGCCAATATACTCGCCACTCACATTACCAAAGCAACCTTTTCTGTCGAGTCCTCAAGTTCGTAGAAATACCATGGTATTTTTTTAAAAACTTAACAATACATCGATGGCAGAATAGCTCATTGCTCACAAATTCTTCTCCACATTTGTGACAGAACATCGCAATACACCTGGTACAATTTAGTCCGTTCGCGCAGTGACTCCAAGTCGACCTAGTGCATCCCGAGATCTCGCCTTACCTCTAAATCCTTTATAAAATTTTCGATGTGTTCATATGAGAGGGCGGCCTGGCTCGGTTACCGAGATCTCGGTTTTTCCAACCGGGATCTCGGTAAGCGGGCTGGAAAATTTTGCCATATGAACACTTCATTCCGGTTACCGGGATGAATTCTTCGCAACAGCGCATGCGTTTAATGGTCGATGACGTAGGGTTTGGTGAAATATATGGTCTCAACTCTGCAACGAGGTTCACAAAAGAGGTTCTTGACATTCTGAAGTTTTCTTTCCAACATTCTTCAGGTGCA